GATGTGAGCAGTCCCCCTGCAGGGCTGGCTCTCACGTGAGCTTCAGTTTCCTCGTATGAAATAAAAGTAACAGGATAACTGTTCCTATCACGCAGAATTGAGAAGATGAGGTCAGCCTGTGCTTAGTGAAGCACGAGGAACAGCTCTCAGTGAAGGCGACACAGAGGGAGCTGCGGGGGTCAGGACCCCCGTGAAGTGCAGCCAGCCCAGCCGGGGGAGGAGGCCTCACAGGACCAGGAAGCCAAAAGCCTGCTCTTCCTAGTTGTGGGAGCCTGGGGCAAGCCCCTTTGTGGTCTCAGTTTTGCCTTCTGTAAAATGGGGAGATTATACACCAGAAAAGACCACTCAGAAACGTCTGATGTTTTCACCTTAAAGATGGTCAGAGAGGAGAGATGGGTGTTGGCTGTCCTGGTGGAGGCAGCAGGATGGATTTGGAAAACAGTCAGCAATCTGCTCCCCACAAGGATTCCAGGGTGGCAAAGAAGGGTGGGGAGGGGGAGATTTCAAGTGCTGGTAGATACTGCAAAATAAGAGAAGTGATGAGAATGGGGGAGGGAAGAAGAGAGAGAGGAAGTCAAGGTGTGGACTCAGGCGTACACTTAGGGAGTGAGAAGAGAATCATGCTACGGGGAGGGGCAAGGACTGTGGGTGATGCTGGGGTGACGGAGACCCCTGAGGTGAGGGTCCCCGGAGCAGGCTTGTTGGTAGAGAGCACAGTGTCGGCCCAGCCACCTGCCCCAGAGGCCCAGGCCCCACCAGGGAGGCACATGATGATTCTCTGGGAGGAGTGGGGAGAAGCCATCCGTCACCAGGAGCTGTATTCCAAAGCCAGCCAGAAATGACGCTGCAGTCTCCTGCCAGCTGGGGGCATCTGCAGGACCTTTAGGACTGATTGTGGGCCCTCTCTCTTCTGGGTCCTTGTCAGAGAATGTCAGAGGCGGGGGAGTCCTGAGAGGTCGCCTGGCCCAACCCTGTCTCCACGGAGAGGAAGTGATTTGTCTCCCAGGGAGTAATAGTGCCTTTCCACCGCTCAACACAGCTTCTTCCCTTCCCGCCGGGCGTTTTGCAAAAAATGTTGAGATTATTTCCCTAGGATCTGAGAACCCCAGGACGCCAGCTCCCCATCAAATGCTGGTGCCCCATGGTGGCAAAGGCGGGGATGAAGGCAAGAAATGTGTATGTGTGTCGGGGGACAGCGTCTCGCTGTACCTCCATCCTTCCCTCCCTCACCACCCCCACCACAAAAGCAGCCTGAGAGCCAGGTGGGGACACATGTGCCCCATGAGCCACTGCCCTGGTGGCTCGGGAGTTGCTGCACTCACATTTTAAAAGCCTTCACATGGGCCGATCCCCTCCTACTCTTGCACTTGGCTCAGCCATTGATTTTCAATTTTTAAGAATCTCCTGGAGGGGGCCGGCCCGGTGGCGCAAGCAGTTAAGTGCGTGCGCTCCGCTTCGGCGGCCCGGGGTTCGCAGATTCAGATCCCGGGCCGCACCAACGCACCGCTCGTTAAGTCATGCTGTGGCGGCGTCCCATATAAAGTAGAGGAAGGTGAGCACGGATGTTAGCTCGGGGCCAATCTTCCTCAAGAAAAAAAACGGGAGGGGGGAGGATTGGCATCAGATGTTAGCTCAGGGCTAGTCCTCCTCACAAAAAAAAAAAAAAAAGAATCTCCTGGAGAGCTTGTGAAGAATGATGATTCCCAGGCCTTGCCTCCAAATGTTCTAGTCGGTAGATCTGGGTGAGGTTTGGGATCTACATTTTAACAAGCCACCTCGCAACTCTTACACGGGGTCCTCAAAGATGAGGGATGTAGAGACTCTCCAGCCCCCCGGCCCTGTGTGCTCCGTGAGTCCTCTCAGCCCGTGGCCATCACTGATTTATTCAGCACTCCCCGTTCCATGGGCTGGTATTTCCACCTGACTGCGTCTCCCATCTGGTCCTTGACTCTCAGGCTCCCAGCTCATTACTGGTGCTTTTAGCTGTAGCTCCGAGTGGGTGAGCGGCTGCGTGTCACCTGAGTGAAGGGCTGGACACTAGGCCATCATGCTCGGCTGAGCAAATCCTACCTTCTCCCCGCTGCCTCGCCGCCTCCTGCTGCTGCCTGCCCCCGAGCGCCTGGGCCTCCGAGCACCCACCCACCTCGTCGTGGGGTGAGGCCTGGTCCAGAGCACTGGGGCAGAGGGTCCATGCACACAGGCTCTGGGAGGGACACCGGTGAGGGACACAGGGTCCCAGGACCTTAGGGTTCAGGGGCCCACAGGAAGATGGCAGGGGCCAGGTAGGAGGTGTATAGAAGGACTGATACGGGCAAATCCTGGGGGCACCTGGACGCCAGATAAGGGAGATCAGAGGCCATTCTGCGTTTCACCAGAAGTGAGGCCTCGGGTCAGGGTTGGCCAGGCTGGGGCCCATTGCCCTCCCCCTTGGCCTTGCAAGAGTGGGGGGGTCCCTGGGGTGAGAGTATGCAGTGTGGCTGCCCTTCCACTCCACTCCTGGGCCCACCCAGCCCAGTCTGTGGGGTTTCTTCCCCTTCGTCTCCTTCTGTCTTTGCCTGCCTCTCTTTCTCTTTCTTTCCCTCTTTCTCCTCTTGTCTCTGTTTTTCTCTTGTACTCTGTCTCTCTCTCCCTCTTTCTGTTGGTCTGTCTTTCTCTCTTCCTTTCTTTGCCTCCTTGCCTCTCTTTCTCTGTCTCTTTCTCCCCCTCTGTCTCTCTCTCCTTGGTCTGTCTATCTCTCTCATTTGACTCTCTGTACCGTCTGTCTCTCACTGTCTCTGTGTCTCTGTCTCCTCCCTCCGTCTCCTCTCCCTGGCTCAAACTCCCAGTCCCCTTGCTGCATGGCCACACTGGCTCACCTCCTCTGGACAGCATCCCTGTGTGGCTCAATCATGCTTGATCCATAGCTCCTGACTGGGCTGGGCTGGGAGATATGCAGATGTGGGCCCCATGATGCTGCCCTCAGAGTTCGCATTCCAGCTGGGGAGGGCTCAGAGTAGAGATGACAAGAGCTGCCAAGAAATCAGGCTGGACCTGGAGGCCTCTACCACCCAGCTGTCCGTCTCAAATGCCCAGACACTGACATTGCCAATTCTCATACTTGGGCCAAATTCTTGTCTGCACCTCCCAGCCCCAAGCCCTCACCCACTCACTATCCAGGCAGACAAGCCTGAGGAAAGGCTGGGTTTGACCAGGCCGAGGATAGGCTCCCAGCCTGAAGATGGCCATCCACCCTGCCCTTGGTGGGGGGGCTGGGGAGAGCCCCTCCCAGCCCATCCCTCTCTAGGAGAGCTCGATGATGCTCTCTCCCTCTTGGTCCCCATGAAAAGAGTGGGGGAGGCAGAGTCCATGGACCACCAGGCCCTTGGCCACCACCACACGGGCGTCTCCCCTTGCTTTCTCCTAAAAATTGACAACAGAGCCAGGAGTGAGTCAGGATCTCTGAGTCTTCCGGCAGCGGGCCTGGCATAGTTGCTGGGATCAGGGAGGAAGTGGGTCCTGCTCAGGGCTCATCCCTCCTGTCATGCAGTCACTCCGCAGATATGTCCTGCGCCCCTCAGTGTGCTGGGCCACACTCTGGGCATGCAGCCGTGAGCACACCTCGCCCTCCATGGGGCAGGGGAGACAGGCAGTGAAGAGGCGATTGATGCCCAGGGTTGTGACACTGTGGTGGAGTCCGCCAGGGGCTGTGGGAGGAGAGGGGGGCTGCTCGCCCTCAGCAGGCAGCGTGGGGCTGGGTATGAAATGACCAGAAGAGAGGAGATCGGAATAGAGCATGCGTGCAGAAAGCTGAGGAATCAGCCGAGAGCTGTGTTGGCACGTGTGAGCCCCGTCTAACAGCCCTTGTGGTCAGCTTCCACAATTCTTGGGGGACATTAGGTCTGCTGCTTTTCTGGGCCTAGATTCCTGCCTCACTGCTCACAGCCCTGGGGACAGGGCACCCCAAAGGAGGGTAAGGCAGGAGGAGGTGGGGGATGGGAGGGTCCTGGCCCCAGACCCTGTGCAAGGGAGGGGCCACCAGAAGCAGGCCAAGCCAGAGGAATGAGACTGCCTAGTGGGGGTGACAGGCATGTGTCCCCATCTCCTCCTGTCCCCTCACACCAAAAGGGGACATTCAGAGTCAAACTCTTCGGCAATGGAGGTGGCATTTCAGAGGTGGAAGGGCCCTTGGGGAGCAGGACTCTGACCTCCTCCCTTCTCAGAAGAAGAGGCTCCAAGAGGCGCGTGTGTGACCCAACGTCACGCAAAATTCAGTGGTCAGCCCAGACCCAGAATCTGACTGTTTGTCACACTGTCCCCTCCTATGTTAAGCCAATTTGTCCTTTACTCTTCAGAGGCCACAGCCTTCCCACCACAACCTCCCCTGAGAACTACGGGCTCCCTGGAGTGGGCTCCCTGGAGTTCGAGTGAGCTTACGCCTTTCTGAGTTTGCCTACGGCACATCGGGGAGGGAGTGATGCAGGAGGAGAGGGCGTCACCTAGAAACCCGATGGGACCAGGACCGGGAAACAGGGAGACACACAGGCTCCTAACAGGTCTTCGAAAGAACAGAGAGTAAATTGTATTTGTTCATATTTAAACCTTTGACTCTGAGATACTCTGAGGTTGAGAGGAAAGGACTTGAGGTTTGGAGGCAGAAGATCTGCGTTCAGCCTCCTCCCAGCTCTCTGATCTGGGGCAACCAGCTAAGCTCTCTGGGCCTTAGGTTCTTAGCTATGGAATGGAGACAACAGTCAGCCGTCTGGCTCACAGGCTGTTGTGTCAGGTATGAGAAAGCCATCCTCTTAGGTTCTTAAAGGGAGACCCTGGTAGGTGAGTGAGGCCTCAGAAGCCCATGCCTGCTCCCTCCTGGTTGGTCACGGACCACAGTCCCTGCCCCACCCCACCAGGTGGGGCGTTACAGCCAGCGTGCGGGCTGCACCTGACTCCTCAGCTCTAGTGGGTGGAGGGAGGTTTCAGGAGCCGACCTCTCCTCATGACCCCTCCTCCCCGCCTGCCCTCAGCTGCGTGGTGGATGAGATGGACTTCTCCAGCATGGAGCTGGACGAGGCCCTGCGGAAGTTCCAGGCTCACATCCGTGTGCAGGGGGAGGCCCAGAAGGTGGAGCGGCTCATAGAGGCCTTCAGGTGGGACCCCCTTCCCATCCCACTGCCCTCACACACCCCTCAAAACACACGCCTGGGGCATGGGGGAGGGGCATGGGGAAGCAGAGCTGCTGTGAGCCTGGGGGACAAGAGATGCTGGGGATCAGTCAGGGGCTGGGAGAAGCCCTCTTGGTGAGGCAGGAGGAGTGGGCGGATAGAAAGGAGGGAAGGAAGAAAAGGGACAGAACTCCTTGAGCTCTCTCAGCTGGAGCAGCACTGGGCCATCCAGGTGAGCACACGCACCTCACTCATCCCCATCAGCGAGCCTCTGTGCAAGGCTGGTACTGTGTGGGATCAGGGGTGTGTGACACCTGCCCCTTCCCCTCAGTGGGGAGGAGGACGAGGGCTCAGGGCAGATGCTCAATGGGATGAGGAAGGAACCTCCCTGGGAGATTCTAAAGCCCTAAGAGAACCAGGCTACCTCCCCCGACAGTCCCCCATTGCTGGAGCCCAGCGAGGGAGGAAAGGGGCCTCAGCATCCCGCTCTGTGTCCCCCGACAGCCAGCGCTACTGCATGTGCAACCCTGAGGTGGTGCAGCAGTTCCACAACCCTGATACCATCTTCATCCTCGCCTTCGCCGTCATCCTCCTCAACACCGACATGTACAGCCCCAACATTAAGCCAGACCGGAAGATGATGCTGGAGGACTTCATCCGAAACCTGCGAGGTGAGGAGTAGGGGCAGGAGGGGCGAGGCCACTGCTCAGGCCCCATCTGTTCGGGGTCCATTCTGTGAGTCTGAGCCCCGATTGGAGACTGTCACCCCAGTGGCCAAGGGTGCTGGACACTGCTCTCTGGGCCTGGTCACACATAGAAGCCTGGGAAAGTTGCTTGCATGTCAGGCATCTGGGGAGTTTCCAGGAGCCACTGCCACTGCCCTACACCAAGCATCAAAGGCCCTTGGTCAGTGCTCCTTGCCCTCTGTGGAACATCCTCCATTGGTTGACTTCTAGGCCCTGGCCCCACAGCTGGTGCCTAGGTGGTACCAGCCCTTCCCACTCCACCACTTAGGAGGGAAGAGCCAGGAACAGGGCTTTTAGGCCTTGGGTCCGTGTAAGTCAGCCTTGCAGATAACTTTATGGCATTTACCAGCCAAGTCCTTTTCTAATTGATATAGTGCACTTACTGGCAGGGATCAGAACAAAACTGGCAGAGTGTGGTATGTGCTCAATTGATTTTTTCTTTTTTAGCATTTTAAAAATGAAAGTCACACGTGCACATAATTTAATAAAGTCAAATAATTCTACAAGGCTTACTACAAAAAAATTAGTGCCTGCCCCTCCCACTACTCTCCTTCCTCAGAGGCAATCACTTTCGTTTTTTTTGCTGTTAATTGTGTTTCTTCTGTAGCTTTAAATAACATGCTTCTGCTTCTTTTTCTTTCTGTCCCGTTTTTTTATTGGTATAAAATACATACTGTGAGGTGTAGGAATCTGAGAGCTTGGTGACTGTTTATCACACTCAGATCTACATACAGATCATTCCCATCACCCAGAACATTCCATCCCGTTTGACACCCCTGCCCGAGAGTAACTGTCCTGACCCCCATAACCGGGGTTGGTTGTGCCAGTTCTTGTGCTTCATGTAACAGGGTTATACAGGATATATACTTTTGGTGTCTGGTTTCTTTTATACACTGCCACTTGTTCATGTTTTTTTATTTTAAGTATTATCTATTAATTTCTATCTTAGTCTATCAGGGTTGCTATAACAAAATATCACAGACTGAGTGGCTTATAAACAACAGACATTTATTTCTCACAGTTTTGGAGGCTGGGAAGTCCCAGATCAAGGCGCTGCAGTTCCATGTCTGGTGAGGGCCTGCTTCCTGGGTCACAGCTGCCGCCTTCTCACTGTCTTCACATGATGGAAGGGGCGAGGGAGCTCTGTGAGGTCTCCTTTTTAAGGGCGCTAACCCATTCATGAGGGATCCACCTTCAGGCTTAAGCGCCTCCAAAGGCACCACCTCCTAATACCCTCCCCTTTGGAGATTAGGATTTCAACATATGAATTTAGGGGAACACAAACATTCAGACCATAGCAGTTTCCCATCACAGAATGTAAAGATTGACCTGTCTTCCATCCACCTTCCCCAGCCCATCCCCACTCACGCTGCGCTGAAGCCCCATGCTCTCAGCGTGGTTGGAGCATCACTTTTGTGACATCGGTGTTTATGTTACTCAGGCTAGGCAAACACAATCTGAGGCTGAGTCTTGAAGTATATAATGATTACAGATCCTTTCTATTTCTATTTTCCTTGCAGTGAATACATGACTTCTTTTTCCATTTGCTTAGCTCTCTGTGTACCTGCCACTAATTCATCTCTAAACTCCCCAACCCAACCGTCCAATTCCTCTCAGTACATCGAGCCCCTGGAGGTAGTCCGTTCCATCTTCTTGGAGATGTCTTGCATCTGTGTCCCCCAGAGCTTCTGGTTCTGCTCCAATCTGGACAGGCTGCTGGGCCAGCTGCACAACTGTCATCCAGGGGTCTCCCTCCACCATCATCGGAGATCTCCTTCACCTTCCTCCTGTGCTGAATTCCTGTTTCCTGGATTTCATAGCGTCCTCAGTTTTAGTTTACTTCCAGAGAAAAGCTACACTGGAGACAAACTTTTTGAGAAGTTGCATGTCTGAATGTATCTCTTTCCATCTTCACTCTTGATTGGGAGTTGGGCTGTAAATAGAATTTCAGGTTGGAAACTGTTGAACTCGGGGTTTTAAGGCGTTGCTCCCCTGTCTTTTAGTTGACAGTGCTGCTTTGCCGTTCCAATTCCTGACCTTTTCCATGTTATTTTTTTCTCTCTTTCTGAAAATTTGTAGGTTCTTCTCTTTATCCTTTGTGTTCTGAATTTGGTAGGCACGGGGTTGGGTCTTCAGTCTAGAAATACGTGTCCTCCAATTGGGGGAAGTTTTCTTAAATATTGTATTTGATTATTTCTGCCTTCCATTTTCTCTGTACTCTCTTTCTAGCACTCTTATTATTCAGATACTAGATCTCCTAGTTTGTCCTCTAATTTTTATAGTTTTCCATCTGTCATCCTTGTCTTCCTGTTTGACTTTCTTAAAGATGTCCCTCAGCTTTATCTTGCAAGTCTCCTACAGATTTTTCATTTCTGCTGTCATTTTTCATTTTCAATAACTCTTTTGTTCTCTAAATGTTCCTCTTTTATAGCATTTTATTCTTGTTTTGTACTTGTGATATCTTCTTATATACCTCAGAAGATACCAATGATATGTTTTACTTGTTTGTTTCAGTTTCTCCCTGCTTGCTCCTATTTCTTCTGGGTTCCTTTTCTTGTTTTTCCCATACATTTTCGCTTTAGAGACTTTCCATATGTAGTTGATGAAACTTGGTTGTCTATTCATATTTAAGAGTGAACCACTAAAAGGCTGATTAAAAATTCTGTGAGTATGGAAGGGGGTTGTTGACTGGTGGGCTTTCTCATAGGGTGATTTAGTTGAGCCGTTTCACTGGGAGACCCCTACTGCAGGATCTTGTTGCCCAGAGGATATGAGTCCGGCTGCAGCGTTCTGAGATCTCCATGGGAGAGGGAGCTGAGGGGTCTCCTGATACACCGACATCAACTTCACCACCCAGCACTCAGCACAGACTCCCACCCTCGGCTGGGCTTGGGGTCCCTGGCCCAGTGTTCCGGGTTCATCCCTTCCAGAGAGTTAACCCTCAGTCAGCAGACGGGAGTGGAGGAAGGGATCGGGAAGTCCAACTGTGTTTTAAACTGACTTCAACCAATTTTCCTGTTTCCAACCCACCCTCACCTCCCCTTTTAGGGGTCCCACCAATTCCAGTGGTGGGCTGAGTGGCTTCTAACCTCTCTGCTGGGGCCGGCCCCATGGCTTAGTGGTTAAGCGCATGCACTCCGCTACTGGCGGCGCGGGTTCGGATCCTGGGCGCGCACCGACGCACCGCTTCTCCGGCCATGCTGAGGCCGCGTCCCACATATAGCAACTTAGAAGGATGTGCAGCTATAACATACAACTATCTACTGGGGCTTTAGGGGAAAATAAACAAATAAATAAAATTGTAACCTCTCTGCTGTCTTCGGTTTCCACTTTCTTAGGTTTACTAATCCTGCCACTCATTTGTCCACCTTCCAGGCCCTGTGGTACCACTGCCTCTTCCCCTGTTCTTTGTCTTTGTGGCAGATGCCTTACTTTAAAATTCCTTTTACCAGGGTATTCAGAGGTGTGCAACCTGCCGTCTTTAACTGGGAGCCACCAGGTATTCAGTCTTTACCCTGCTCTTTCTTGCCCCCAGCCTGATGTCTTCCAGGCCCCAGGGGTGCTGCCTGGCTCATTTGCCCGACTTTAAGAGCCAAGATCAGATGTGGAAGAAACAGGATCAACCCAGAGAGCTGCTCATAGAAGGTGTAATGTCCTTTCAGCAGTTAGGAAAACCCCTTTGAGGATGCTTGCCAACGTTGCTTTATTTTTAATTTTTCCCTCTTAAAAAAGAAGCATATAGTTATTAAAGAAAGATTTAGAAAAAGGAGAAAGAAGAAATTTTTTTATTGCCTCTGTTTCTATCTCCTAAAGAAATTTGTTTTCATGTTGGTATATTTCCTGCTAATATTTTTCGTTACCAGAGTTTTATCAGTACTATGAAGCAGGAGATGGGCGGAGGGTCTTGCTACCTGCATCCCCTCAGGGGGCTGCCCTGCTCCTCTTCACTGAATGTCTAATCCCCACCCCCCCACGCTCCCAGAAAGGGATGAATCTTGACACCCATTCAACAACTAATCGCCCTAGAAAGGGAAGCCCTGAAAAAGAACAAGACAGAGTTTCGGCCTTTAAGATGCTGTCGTGGCAGGGCAGGGAGCAGGGGATTGTTCAGACAAATACACAGAGGACGGACAAGAGAACTGCAGAAACAAAGGCAGGAACAGGAGGCTGTATCTGGAGAGGAGGGAAGAGGCCTGGGAGAATGAAGGGTCAGTTAAGGAACAGCAGAAGATGAGGCTGAAAATGTGTGTCAGGGCCATGTTATAGTAGTTTGGTGCCTGGCTAAGGAGTTTGTCCTTAATTTAATGGGTAGGGGAGCCAGCCATTGAAGGCTTTGGAACAGGAACAGGGCAAAATCAAGGCCACTGTTTAGGAGTGAAGGCTGGTAGGGGGTTTCACCTCTGGCTCCAGGCCTCTGACACCCGCCCCTGCCTCCCCCGCCTCCTCTTCCCGGCCCACATTTACAGGTGTGGATGATGGTGCCGACATCCCCAGGGAGCTGGTGGTGGGCATCTACGAAAGGATACAGCAGAAGGAGCTCAAGTCCAATGAGGACCATGTCACATATGTCACCAAGGTGGAAAAGTCCATCGTGGGCATGAAGACAGTAAGTGCCCACTGCGGAGCCGCACTCGCACTCGCCTTCTCTCCCCCGGGGCCGCCAAGGCCCTGCATCTGCATCTCCTTTGTTTCTTCCTGATGTCTCCTCCCATTCTGCTCCTTACCTGTCAAAAACACTTTTCCATTATTCATTCACTTCATAGCTGTTGAGTGCCCCCTATATGCCATGCACCACACCCTCTTTTCTGCACTTGCCTGATTTCCTCAGTGCCTCTTGCTACCAGCTACCGTAGCAGGAGACACTGTGGTGAGATGTCGGAAGGACTGCCCGGGGGTCTAGGTTGAAGCATCTAGATGATCAGATAGGGAGGTTTAGGATGGGATGGATCTTGGGTCCTCCTGGCTGGTCCTACTGAATGGAAGACAGGAAATGGGCTACAGTGGGCTCTAGACTGTGGGGTCTCAGCCACTGGGTGCCCCTTAGTTGTGACCTGTGTTGCAGTTTGCAGTATGTTCCAAGTTTGCAATGATTTTTAAAGTGAGCATTCCCTGGGCCAGCCCCGTGGCTTGGTGGTTAAGTGTGCGCGCTCCGATGCTGGTGGCCCGGGGTTCGGATCCCGGGCGTGCACCGAGGCACCACTTCTCTGTCCATCCTGAGGCCGAGTTCCACATACAGCAACTAGAAGGATGTGCAGCTATGACATACAACTATCTACTGGGGCTTTGGGGGGAAAAATAAATAAATAAAATCTTTAAAGTGAGCATTGCCTATGGGTTACTACACTACTGATACGTCAGCAGAGGCCCTTATGCCATAAATATAAAGGTTCTGGTAGCCACCTCCCTAACCATCTCCCTAACCCTAACCATCTCCAGTCCTCCTCCTCAAATTGCTGGCTCAGGGAGCGGTGTGGGGACTTTGTCTGAGGCTCTGCACCGGACCCCTCCTCTCTGTCTGGGCAGAGCTGGCCCTTCTCTGCCCACAGTCTACTGCTGAAGTCTTAGCATGTGTCCAGCTTGCAGATGCCCCTGGAATAGATTGTTTTACACACTGGAGCAGAGTCGAGGTGTCCCTGTAACCATCTCCCTCTTGCACACTTGCGTTTGGGTGCAGGTGCCGTCCTGCAGGCCACAGCCTGGGATGTGGGGGTGCCCTGAAGAAGGGCTTGGAGGGAAAAGGGTTGCCAGTGACTGGATTTGAACAGTCTGAAAGCTCTCTCCAGTGTCCTTTCTCGCCCTTGATGTCCTCATGTTCCCCAGCATAATGAACGCCTTCCTCCCAGCCTTGCTCCCTAAGAAGCATGGAGAAGGGGAAAGAGACCAGATGAGGAGAGAGGGGGCTTAGGGTCGAGTGCAGGCCCCGCCGTGGAACCCTGGGCTCCATCTGCTCTTCTGGAAGGCGGGTGCTGTGGGGCGGGGAGGCCTGGTGCTCCGGCCTCTCGCGCTGAGCAGAGCCCCGGCCACAGGTGCTCTCGGTGCCCCACCGCCGCCTGGTCTGCTGCAGCCGGCTCTTCGAGGTGACAGACGTGAACAAGCTGCAGAAGCAGGCCGCACACCAGAGGGAGGTCTTCCTCTTCAACGACCTGCTGGTGGTGAGCCGACCGCGGACGGGGGCCCTGCTGCCCTGCTCAGCCTTAGCAGGGGCCCGAGGGGCGCGGTGGGCCCTTGAGACCCCACACGGGGTGCTGTGTCCTCGGGGCCGATTCACCTTTCTCGTGGCGCTTCCACATCACGGGTGTGAGCAGCTCGGGCAGATGTGGTCGCTCCTGCTTTACAGGCACAGAGAGGGTGAATCATCTGTTCCTGGTTCCACAGTCGTGGTGGAAATGAACTAGGTCCCAGATCACCAGTCTCTCCCGCGTCGTAGGCAGCCTGGGGCAGGGAGGGTACAGTGTGCACAGCCCACAGCCTGGGGGTACGGTGGCCGGCGTGCACTGTCCTGGGAGATGCTGGGGTGTGTGTGTGCAGACATCTGTAGGGAACCCAGTCTTTGCTCCATTCCACAAGTATTTCAAGAGCTATGTGCCAGGCATTGTTCTGAGTGTAGGAGGCAGTGGTGAGCAGGACTTGATTTCTGTCTTCTCCTCGGCCCCCACATCCTCCCTCTCCAGGAGTCATATTGCACCACCTCTAAAATTGTCCCAAATCTACCCCACCTCTAAGGCCCATCTCCCACAGAGCAGCAGAGTGATCTTTCTAGAGTGCAAATCAGGCCCTGCGTCTGCCACGCCTCAGACCCGACCCTGGCTTCCCATGCCGGGAGAAGGAGGGCCACACTGCCCGCCTCAGAGCCTCCAGGGCCTCCCACCTCACTGCCTCCACTCCTCCCCTGGCTGCTCTGGCACCCGGCCCCACCAGCCGCCGCCCACAGGGCCAGGCTGGTTCCGGTCCAGGCCTTTGTTCCCGCCGCTCTTTCTGGTTGAAAAGCCCCCCAACCCCGGACCTCTGCCAGCCACCTCCCTCTCTTCCTCCAGGTCTCAATTCTGATGTCACCTCCGCAAGAGGCTCTCCCTCACCACCTAGCACAGTCACCTGCCCCATTACTTTCTATTCCTTACTCTATGGCACTGTCTTCAAAACACTTACCAGTTTCTGAAATTACCTTATGTATCCATTTCTTCATTTTGTTTTTTTCTTTTTTTTGCTTATTATGCTTTATTGATTGATCAGTTGATTTGCCCCCAGACGGTCTTCCTCCACGGTAGCATCAGCACCTGAGGGCGGGGCTCCCTCTGCCTCGTGGGCACCTCTGCCCCAGAGCCCAGCTCAGACAGTGCTGAAGAAATGTTTGTGCATGGAGCAGCTGGCTGGCTGAGCCTTCCTTCCAGTAGAGGAGGGAGATAGGAAATAATTAAGAAAACAAATAAACAAGATAATGTCAAATTGGGGGAAGGTGCTGTGAAGACAGTAGAAGAGAGTGATAACCATAGCAAGTGACTGGTGTTAAAGTGGACTTTTTTGTTTAATTTTGGTTTTGTTTGTTTTTTAGATAGGATGGTCAGGGAAGGAATCTCTAAGGAGGTAGCATTTGAGTTAAGATCTAAGAGAGTAATCCAGCCATGCAGTAAGCTGCAGGGAATAGCACATGCAAAGGGCCTGGGGTGGGACAGAGCCTGCCCTGTTCAAGCTATAGAAAGGACAGCGTGGCCTGAGAATAAAGCCAGAGTAAGGCAGGGATCAGATAGGGTGGGGCAGGAAGTGTGGATGGGCTTCTGAGCACAGTGGGAATAGCCACTGATGGGGTTTATGCAGTAAAAAACCATATTTTGATATTGTGTGTGTATACATATGTATATGTGTGTATATGTATGTGTGTGTGTATGAATTATCCTAAGTGTATGCATGTGTGTGTCTTTGTGTGTGTTTACTTGTGTGCTCAGTATCCCTGAGTGTTCATGCATGTCAGTGGGTGTGTGTCCCCCTCTCCTGGACAGATTCTCAAACTTTGCCCGAAGAAGAAGAGCTCCTCCACGTACACCTTCTGCAAGGCGGTCGGCCTGCTGGGCATGCAGTTCCAGCTCTTTGAGAATGAATGTAAGTCTCGGTCGGACCCCGAGATGTGGCCGAGGGCGGCTGGGGCAGTTGAGGGAGACGGGATGGGCTGTGGGGAGGGCGGAGGGGCGAGCACCCCAAAGGCCTGTCCACCCTCCGCGTCGGGCTGCCTCCAGCCCCACCTGCTGCTGCTCACGGCCCTGGGGGCCTGGGGTCTGGGTTCCAGATTACTCTCATGGCATCTCTCTGGTGACACTGCTCTCGGGCTCTGAGAAGAAGCAGGTGCTGCATTTCTGTGCCCTGGGCTTGGACGAGATGCAGAAGTTTGTGGAGGACCTGACGGAGTCCATCGCCGAGGTGACGGAGCTGGAGCAGATCCGGATAGAGTGTAAGGAGGCGGCGCACCCTGGGGTCTCCTAGGCTGGGCTTCCAGTCAGCAAGGAACAGGGTCGGCGTGCAGACAGACACCACTGAGTCCTTGCCCCACTCTGGAGTGAGGGTGGGGTGAGCCAAGGACCCTCCAGTCATCCTTCCCCGTCCCCCAGGCCCACTGCACCATCCCACCCGATGTGGGTGCACAGCTCTTCATGTTTCTTCACAATTAAAGCGAGGTATGCTAGGGCGTGCACACGTGTGTGCACATCTAGCCAGGCTGTGGGGCTGTGTGTGGGCCCCGGTAAACAGAGAACTCTGCCGTTTTTGGCCAGGGCTGAGTGAGCGACCAAGGCGGGCATGCAAACCAGATGTCTGGGAGCTCAGGGGCTTCTCTTCCCACCCAAAAGCCATGTGCAGCCTCTGCCCCGGATCCACTCCAGGTTCACATACTACATCTGGTTGTTTCATCTCCTTCATCTCTTTTAATCCAGAATCGTCCCCACACTTTATTTTTTCATAACTTTGTCTTTTTGAAGACGGGCTGGTTTTCTGACTGTCCCTCATCCTGGAAGTTGTCTCTCTGTTCCTCTGAGGAATGCCTTGATTCTTGATTGTTCCAATCCAGGCACTTGAGAAAATTCGTGAGCCTCTTCAGAAGTCAATGGCTTACTGGTTGCTTTTTGGTTTAAGAAAAGAGCAGTGATGACCTGAACCTCTGCCCCTTGGAAGCTTTTACTGTTTAAGCATCGCAGTGGCTTCAGATAACCTTTAAGAAAATCAAACAAGAATGGACTCAGAAGCTAAAACAGAAAATAAAGGCAGACTTTGGACCTGCCTTATACGGCCACTTCATTTTTCTAAATTACTGGGAATCCATTAGGCAATAGGCAAGGCAGTGGCAGGGTTGGAGCAGGGGACCAGCATGACAGGGCCGTGCGTTTTAATCTCTGTTTTGGGAACACCTACCGTGTGCTGGGCAGTTTGTTCATATTCCGCTACTCCTCACAGTGACACTGTAAGGTAGGGGTTTGTCCCCACTTCACAGATAAAAATCAGAGTTCAGGAGCGTGTCCAGGTCATGCATATCAGAAGTGGAGGAGCCAGCCTCTGCGTTTAAGTTGCTTCCCAGGTTCCTGTACTTCCCATCTGAGAGTGAGAGAAGAGGTTCTGTTGAGAATTTCCTACGAGAACAACTAAATCCAGTTAACACAAACCCCACCAGACTAGACTGTATACCTCCCTGTGGCAGGAGGCAGGGTGCGTGCAGATCCCTTCCGGCACCCTGCTGGTATTCTTGCGTCCAGCCATGTAACGACCAGACTCTTTTCTTTGCTTTTTTTTTTTGGTGAGGGAGATCAGCCCTGAGCTAATATCTGTGCCAATTCTCCTCTTTGTTGCTGAGGAAGATTGGCCCTGGGCTAATCTCCGTGCCCATCTTCCTCTACTTTATATGGGACGCCGCCACAGCATGGCTTGACAAGCGGTGCGTTGGTGCACGCCCGGGATCCGAACTTGCGAACACCGGGCCACCGCAGCGGAGCGCGCGCGCTTAACCGCTGTGCCTCCAGGCCAGCCCCATGACCAGACTCTTTTCAAGGGCTGGATTGGAGGCTTAGAGATGCCACCTTGGCCGTTGATCTTGACCATTCTCAAGGACACGCCCTGAAATGGCTTCACTTCTCACTTTGTCAGAACGTCACAGATGGCTCTGTATGGCCCTGGGGAGCCAGAGCATCGGCAGTTGACGCACCTTTTCCCCCATCAGCCTGAGAGCAGCACGTCATGTCCCCCCAAAGTACAAGGGAGTAGACAGGCCAGCATCTGTTCTGTCAAGAGGTGGGTCTCCTCTCCTGCTGTCTAGAGGGCAGGGGCAGTGAGAGAGCCTGACGTCTGGCCCTTGCTCTTCAGATGGGGAGACAGAGAAGGAAGAGCTGAGGAAAGATGAAGGTGCTCAGGAGGCAGGGACGAAAGAAAGTAGAAAACAGAAAATGAAAACCAGCAACAGCTACCGCTCAGTGAGCACTTATTACCTGCCTGGCACAGGGCTGACGGCCGAACCTGTTGTGTTATTTAATTCTTGCCACATCTTTCCATGAGGTGAGTCATATTATCCTCATCTTAAATAGGGAAACTGAGTCTAACAGAGCTTAAAGAAGTTGTCCAAGTCCACGCAGTCAGTGACGAAACAAGATTCACACGCAGGTTCCTCGGGCTCCTTGCGCGTAATGACGACGCTAGCTTCTCCGAGGCCACGAGAGCCCCTCAGCGGGAGGAGCGCCCTCAGTTCAGGAGGAACGGCTAGTGTTGACCGATGCTGTGACTTGAGCATCAGGACACGGTGTCCTCGTTGGGGTTTGCGGTCTGGCGTCCAGGGAGACAGAGACTGGGACCTGGGAGAGCAGCTTTAACAAAAGGAACTGGAGTGGAGTGTCCTGGAAGAGAGCGGCTGAAAGGGGGATGTCGTGATGCCTGTCGGACCCCCAGAGTGGTGGCCGCAGTCCCCTGGCACCACCAAGAAGAGCAAGGAGCAGGTTTACAGTCTAGGGAGAGGACGTAGAGAGGAGAACAAGACAGATGCCCGGCCAGGCGGGCTGTGCAACGCCGGCAGAGCCTCGGGCGTGTGAGGGCTCCTCCCTGGAGAGCCCGGAGATCCTGCGCAGGCTCTGCCCGCTGGGCAGTCGGTTCAGCACCAGCCGCTGCTAAGGTCTGCCGTGCAAAGTATTCTTACACTTTGTAATAAAAGCTAATCTTTACTGAGCACTTGCCACAAGCCAGGCCTTGTTCTAAGTGCTTTAATATATTTCCTCATATAATTCTCTTAATGACACTTTGAAGTGGCACTGCTGTCCCCTCGGGTGAAGCACAGAGAGGTTAAGTAACTTGCCTAAAGCCACACAGCTGGGAAGTATCAGAACCAGATTCAAAGCGGGCAGTCCACCTCCCTCTTCCTGACCTCTTCTACGCCTCTCCGGTCTTCACGCAGGCTTTATGGTCCCCATGTGCAGATGAAGAGACAGGCTCGCCATGACGTGGTGCCAGACTTTGGGGTCTGGGTTTTGTAGCCCGTGTCAGGGAGCCTCTCTTCCTGCTCTCTCTCCTCGTCTCTTCTTCCCCTCTGTGTGGTCGAGGTCAGGGTTTCTCTCTGTTCATGAGCCTCTCCCTTCCCTAGGGGAGCTGGAGAAGCAGCAGGGAGCAAAGACGCTCTCCTTCAGGTCCGGTGGAGCCCAGGTGGACCCACAGTCGAAGCAGGGATCGCCTACAGGTGAGCCGGCTCCGCTCCGGAGTTCCAGACCCCAGGCCTGGGGTGGCCGGGCCCGGGCTGTGGGGAGGCCACTCGCCACCCCTGGGCTTGGGTTCCTGGGGAACGTGGTCGGGGGACATGCTCGTTTCCATGGCCGTTTCTTTCTGCTGAGGGGCTCCCGGCTTGCTGAATCCCCTGGGGCCTTAGCAGTGGGCGTGAGGAGGAAGGTGAGAGAGACACTTGTCGATTTACAACCCACACTAAGGCCCAGGGTCCATGTGAAGGCCGCTGTCCACCCTGACCTCCTGGCTCTGGTGGGTGCTACCTACCCTCCAGAGCCGGGCTCACTGGGGCGACCGGAGGTGTGGTAAGGAGAAACCTCATGAGAAAAGACTGCTGTGTCTAGGATGGGGGCAGAGTAAGGAGGAGGGGTGGCCAGAAGGGTCTGGAAATCTTGATCAGCCCCGTCAAGTCCTTTCCCTAATGAGCCACCAGCACTCTCTGATCCCAGCCCCAAATCCAGATAAACCCTCAAACTCCATTCTCAGATAGTTTCTTCAGACTGAATTCTTCACTCCAGACAAATCAAGCCAGCTTCAGGTTTGGTATCACCTTTGGCCACGTTCTCTAGACCTGCTTCCTTCCTCCACCAACATCCTCCCACCCCTCCCTTTACCCCCACCTACAGGGAGCCTGGGAAAAGTGCCCCCACCCCACTCCACCTGTCCCGAGTAGAGAAGCATTAGAAGGAGAGGTGGCATGAGAATTAAATCCCATCCCAGGGCTGGCCCCGTGGCTTAGCGGTTAAGTGCGCCTGCTCCGCTGCTGGCGGCCCAGGTTCGGATCCCGGGCGCGCACCGACACACCGCTTCTCCGGCCATGCTGAGGCCGCGTCCCACATACAGCAACTAGAAGGATGTGCAGCTATGACATACAACTATCTACTGGGGCTTTGGGGAAAAAAATAAATAAATAAAAATCTTTAAATCCCATCCCAACAGAACCCCAGCAGACCATCCAGAACTGTCTACTCATTAATTCAGTCGTTTCTTCTCACATCTGACAAACACTTACTTATTCAAAGCACTGGAAAGCCAGGGTCCCAGCACGGCATCACCTTGAGCTGAGACCCTCCGGTGGGTGTCGTGCTGTAACCCTCAGTCACCACCATGACACTAGACTGGACAGGCAGTGTCATGGGGCCGTCCCACCAGCTGGGAGATGTGATTTATTTTCCAAGCAAGACTTGGGGCTCTTTTAGCTGTGTGGAGATTCTCAGGGTGATGTCATCTTCTGCATGCGGGTTTGACCTGCCATCCTGCATTCATAGTTCTCCACCCTGCCTGGTCAGCCAGCACCTTTGTTTCTATAAGGTCAAGTACGTGGATCACTGCTTGTGTTCACAGCTGTTTAAACTCCAGAGTCTCTGACCCCCGCCCCACACTCTGCATCCCAGCCTCCTCTTTCAGAGGCTGTGACCCTAGTCAGGCCGGGATGCATGTCTCCAGGGCCCCGTCCATCAGGGGCCTCCACAATGGGGGCTTCTCCGCTCCGGACAGTGGCACAACTCCCTCTTGTGCTGCAGAGAGAGGGATGAGCACAGCCAGGGATGTGGCCCCCCCTGGGGCGTGTGAGAAATCAGAAGGCTCCAGCAGAGGGACCCTGGGAGGCCGCTGTGGCTGGGGGTGTGAGCCCGGGGGTGACTGAGCCAGAAAAAGTCATCAGGCTGTCCCTGGGGGGTCCACAGGGTCCCTGGCACTGTGCCAGGCCAGTCAGAAGGCCTAGGAGCAATTACAGAGCCATTATCAGCTCTGACGCCTGCCAGGCCCCTCGGTGAGTGCTGTTCAGCCTCAGCCCACTGACTCCCCTACTCAGCTACTGAGAGGGGAGGAACAGAAGAGGGAGCCTGCGGTTGAAGGAGACAGATGAATGCGCTGCCCACAAACACACAGCAGAGCCTCCTGTGTTTCTGGGAGCCGAGTACCAATGCCCCTCATAACCAGTTTTCACAGTCCCTATTGGGAAGGCTTTGACTGTGGGTGCCCACGTCAGAAAGAACATCAGAGATCGTCTGGTCTGTGGAGGCCCAGAGAGGTGTAGCATCTTGTCCAAAGTCACACAGCTTAAGGGGTGACTCCGAATTCCAGTCCACTGCCCCAGCTGCATCTCGTCAGCAGTGGCGTGGCACCCACCCGTCTAATTACAGGGATGCTTGGTTTGGGAGGTGCTGGGGGGAGAAGTAGTGATTAGTGTTGGGACTGGTGGAGAATGAGCCCTGTGCTCTTTGCATTCAAAGCCAAAAGGGAAGCTGCGCTGGGGGAGAAGCCTGCGGAGAGCACAGTGGAGGTGAGTGGAGGCCTGGTTGCCCAGGTGAGTGGTCGGCGCCCCTACTCGTCCTTCTTCTCACCGTGTCTGTTGTTTCTCTCTTCTCAGGTGTTAATCAATGCCTCCCCAGCCCGACTCACCATTTTTCCAATTTCAAGAGATACAATTAAAAGTTACCGCTAGTATGGTAACGCCACTGTTCCAGCGCCTAATTAAGCCGCAACACTTTCCGCCCATTCCCCAGCCGGGCTGCCCCCGCTGACTGCCCCCCATGGAGATGAAGCCCATGACACCTCCATGACGAGCCCCCTCAACTCCCAAATCCACTTCCCCGGAAACTGCTCCCTGAACCCCTAATAGTCACTGTGTCAGAGAACCCCATCTTCCCTTCCCACGCCCGCCGGTCCTCCTGTGGAGAATCACCCCTTAAGTCCAGTCCTCGAGTGATTGCTTCCCGGATGCCTGTTGGAGAAGTTGGAGCCTTAAGAGCAGGGGCAGCTGGGAGGGGGAGCTTCTCCCTGGTGCAGCTAGTCCTTCTGGAAAGCTGGCCGTGGGGGAGGAACGCGTGCAGGAGAAGGTGAGGCAGAGTAGGGCTGCAGTTGTCTTAGCGGTTTTCTCAGGGGGAGAGCTGATGACTCTGAGGATTGTCCATGTTGGATGGAAGGGCACGCACATCCCCAAGCCATACAGGGCAAGGAGCGGCAGCAGCTGGTCCTTGCCGGGCCCTCAAGTGTCACCGGGTTGGGGGGCATGCAGTTGCCCCTGCAAGCCTTGCTGGGCCCCAGTCCTCCCCCTCTTGCCCCCTGCACCCCAGGGAGCCCTCTCACTGCTTTTCTGCCAGGCCTCCAGGGACCACCAGCCCCTCACACAGACACCTCCCCTCCCAACTTCCACTCCAATCCCCCGCTTTGAGGGGCGAGTCCTGCCCCCCAGCCTGGCCAAGCTTGGGGAAGCCCCTGATACCCCAGGGGAGCCCATTCTTTCTCTCTGCCCCCCACTGCCCCCACCCCCCACACACCTGTGTCTGGAGGAGGCACCTTTACCGGAGGAGCTTCCTGCCCCAGCAGCTGACAAGCCCCCAGGGTGGGTATTCCATCCCCTGCCCCTCATCCCCCATCTTCCTGCAGCTGCCCATTCTCTAGCCTTGCAGATAAACACGCGAAGTCATCAGCCCTCCAGTTTGGTCTACCAGCCCTGCCCGTGCCTTAGCCCGACCTGCCTAGGGAGGACAAGCAATCTGATGGCCCTGTCTCCCCTCCTGCCCTGCCCAGAGGCCATGTGACTATCTGCAAGGCTGCCACCCTCAGCTAGTCCCAGGGCCCCGCCAGCTCTGCTCCCCTGCACAGAGGGCAGCCTCGCCGCCCAGCCTCTCAGCTGGACCCTGAGCTCTCTGTCCTCTGCCCTCTCCCCATCATTGCCTGGCCCAGCGCCCCTCTGGCAGGCGCTTCTCCATCTTCTCTGAGCTGTTCTGACCTGCCACTCATGTTCCATCCTCTCTCTCTCTGTCTCTCTCTCTCCTTTCATCAGCAGGAATGAGAAGGGGGTCAGAATGAGAAAATGTTTTACTGTCACTTCCTGCTTTTCACATATTGACCATTAAAGAGTAAGGCTCCAGGCTGGGGTAGGGAGGAGGGGGTGCAGACAGTGGAGGTGCAGCATGAGGCCAAGAGCTGTGGGCTACGTGGGGGCAGCAGCAGGGGAGGAGAAAGAGGGCCCAGGGGCTCTGGACTGGGGCAGCCAGGCATTCGGCCGGGGAGGGGCAGTTGTCAATCTGGGGGGCGAGAACAGAAGGGGACGAGTCTGCCCTCGCTGTCTCAGGGCACCTTTCTCCTGCGGAATAACTCAGACTACAAGCAGGTGGGGGAAGGAGCTGGTCCCTTCCAGCAGTGCTGGACAGAGGCCTTCTGCTCGAGTAAGGACCAGAGGGCTCCCCAAAAAGAAGGTGGGCCCCAGCCTTGCTCTCTGCCTGCCCTGTGTCTTGGCAGGGCAGTGAGGGGTGCGGGGTCTCGTTCATTTGTTGGGGGAATCTCAGGCCTAGAAAATGCTGCCGAGTTGGAGGTTGACAGTGAAGAATAAAGCCTGCAGCTTGCTGGGCATGGCCGTGGGGCTTGTGAACACTGAAGGGGCAGACAGAGAATGGCCCTGGGGAGCCTGTGGAGAGGGAAGCAGCCCATCGGGAGTGCACAGACCCAGCAAAGGGGGTCCCTGAAATTGCACCTTTTGCCAATAAATAGGGTTAGGATCTGCGGGTTTAGGGCTCTGAGATGGTTTTGGGCTGGGCTGTCCTGGTCTAGGCCTGGGGTAAGGTCTCCTCCCCTGCAGCCTCCGTTTCCCCCTCTGTGCTCTGAGCAGCAGGTCATGGGTGGTGGTGCCCAAGGACAGTAGGAAGCATCCTCAGAGAGAAGGGTCTCAGCCCCCCCAAAGGGCCCAGGTGTTGGCAGGGGATTGTGGGGTGTCCTATCTACAGGCTGGGAGCTGGAGGCTGAGGAATTAAACCCCTAACCTTCCTTCCACCCATTTCCTCCACCTCCCCCTGAGGGTAAGAGGAGGCCAGGCTAGTTCACAGTGACCTCCATGGTCTGAGGGAGGGGGCCACCTCCTCATGCCCCACCCAGAGGGTAAAGGTTAGAGTCCTTTTGGGGTACCCCCTCCTGCAGTGGGACAAATTTAACCAGGACCCAGGTTGGGCCAGAAAGGCAGCTGGGAACCTGACTCTGGCCTTGGCTGTCTGGGCTGCTCTCAAAGCATGGTCATGGCCTTGGGGAGTCTGGGAGAATGGAGTAGGTCAGGGTCACCCATCAGAGGTCCCTAGCCTTCTGGGGTTTGGGTGCCTCGTGATGTCAACGGTGACGATGAGCTTCTCCTTTAACAGAGCCGGTGGGAGGAGAGGGGCTTGAGAGGCTGAAAGATGCTGGATTGCCTGTCTGTGTCTAGTCTCCCTTTATCCTCCACACACCCCTGGGAGGCAGGGAGGGGACAAAGACTGTCACCCTTGCTTTTCAAGCTCGGAGTTGGTGGAGAGGGAGGTGGGAATCCACTCAGCAGGTCCATGAATTCAGACTGCAGAGTTATGCAGAACCTTCGAGTGCTTTGGTCCAACCGCCCATCACACCGATGAGGAGACTGAGGCCTAGAGAGTGGAGGCTGCTCAGTGTTGATGGCAGAACACAGTCTCTTGACTCCACCCAGGGTCAGCCCCTCTGTCTGCAGCCGGCTTTCCTCTGGGTGGAGAGATAGGGTGCGGGTCAGAGTGAGGGCACAGGAGACAGGAGAGTGGGGAGGGAGGCTCAGGGTAGCCAGTCCTAGCAGCTGGGAAGTAGTCTTGTAACATTTCATGCTTCTCTGGCTGTTTCTAAACTAGGTGTCAATTCACAACAGGCTTCAAACGTCCCAGCACAGCTCCGGGCTGGGGGCCGAGAGGGGAGCGCCGGCGCCGCTGCCAGACCTGCAGCCTAGCCCCTCGAGAGAGCAGCCCCCACCGCTGCCACTGCCGCCACCCACGCCCCCGGGGACCCTGGTGCAGTGCCAGCAAATTGTCAAGGTCATTGTCCTGGACAAGCCCTGCTTGGCCCGCATGGAGCCCCTGCTGAGCCAGGCTCTCTCCTGCTATGCCTCGTCCTCCTCCGACTCCTGCGGCTCCACACCCCTGGGCGGCCCAGGCTCCCCTGTCAAGGTCATCCACCAGCCTCCGCTGCCCCCACCTCCACCCCCCTACAACCACCCTCACCAGTTCTGCCCACCCGGCGCCCTGCTGCACCGGCGCCGGTACTCCAGCGGCTCCAGGAGCCTTGTATAGACTCTGCCACCACGCTGTGGTCCCGGGAGGGCTGGTTGCCGGGGGCATCCAGCGGCCCGACTGCCCCTTCATTGTTCTCCACCCCCTGGCACGCTGCATTCCTGGTCACCAATCACTGTCGTTTTGGCAAGAGAACCCCCATCCCTGGCACCTGAGTTTGCCTCGCCTGACTATGCTTCCCCTCCTCAATTGAGCACCCCTGTCCCAAAGCTGGAGACACCACCTCACTCTCTGGGGCTGGGCTCTCTTGCTCCTGCCACCACTCTGGCCACTTGGACCATGAACTGGAGGAAACAGGAGCTGAGGGCCTAACCAGCTTCTGGGTCCTGAGTCTGGTAGGACTCAGGCTGGGTGGGCAGGTGCGAGGGGCTGGGTGGCCAACACCCAGCATTGGACAGAAGGTGGCCTGGTTTACCACTCCAGCACTAGATGCCACAATGAGTGGAGGAGGCTTGGCCCTGGATCCCTGGAGGGGCCAGGTCAGGAGGCGATATGAGGAGGGGGCTTTCTCTGCTGCCCCTGCTCCCCTCCCCTAAGCCCACGGTCTCAAGAGGCTGCTCCTCCATCCCCAGGGATGTTGGCTGTCCTGACCACATCCGCCCCCTCCTCCCGGGGCCTTCTCCTGCTTTCTCAGGAGCTGAGGCCCTGCCTGCTCAGGGCTGCCCAGACTCCAGGAAAGCTTCAAGAAAGGGAGGAGAGAAACGGGGGCCACTCTCAGCTCTCACTGGGTCAATTCAACAGACCTGCAGAATTGTGAGGTCATGTATTTGCAAAATGCACCTTTTTAAAGAGTTTCTTCGTTCCGTAGCCCCAGATAATACCCAGCCAACGCAAATTGCGCATGGGGCGTAAACCTAAACACGCACGAAGAGCACCAGGTTAATTTCTTCCGTTGTGGATGCGGCAACAGGGAGCAGGGGCGGGGACTTGCCCCGGGAGGGGAAATGCAGCCAGCAGAGGTGGGATCTGGACCCGAGTCAGGGCTCCCTTGTGGTCTCCGTGAGTGATTGGGACGCAGACATGGACGAGAGGAGCTGGTGCTCCAGGGGCACTGGCATTTCCCCTTCTGCCATCCCAAAGTAGCCCCTCAGCCTTTAAATCCCCACCCCCTGCTTCCCCCCACCAAGGCACCAGACCTGCCGCCGCCAGCTGGGGTAGCTAAGAGTTCCCACACCCTCACAATTGCACAGGAGAGCAAAGCAGGGCTTGCTGACCTCAGGTTCAAGCAGAATCCGAGAGTCAACCTTTATGGGCCCCGCGGAGCCTAGGCAGCCCAGCCTCCGAGACCTCCAGGGCAGTACCACCGCTGCCCCAATCGTGGCCCTTTCAGGAGGTATCTGTCCCAAGCAGGCTGGACTCTCCAATCCTGTGCCAACAGCTCACTGCTATCTTTCGTTAAGATCCCCTCCCACTTGGAGCCCATTTTCAAAGCATCCCGGGAGATGGAAGAGAATGTTGGCCAGGTCTAAAGTGAATTTGCTTCTCCCCGACCCCTGCCCCACACCCCAACTTCCGTCCCTGGGCCAGCTAGGAGGCGCAGATTCTTCCCCGCCTTCAGAGTTTCCAGATGACCTAGTTTCGTATGTATGTGTGTGGTCACCAGGTGTCCCTATGATGTCACCCAGCGAGTTTATTTCTGGCCCTGTCTTTGTCAGCCCGGTTTCCGTAACTTGTGGCCAGTTTGCTGTCTCCTCCCACTGTGGCTCCCCAGCAGGTCTGCTCCCCTGTCCTTGTTGCCCTGGCCCCTCTCCCGTGTCTTTTCTGGAACAGAGTTGCTCCCATCAGAGCCTTTCGGAAGGGAGCGGCTGACAGATGGGGTCATGAATCCAGACATGTCTGATGCCCTTGGCCGGGGCAGCAGGTGTCAGGGTCGTGGGAGGCAGTGGAGTTGTGGGGTAGGAGTGGATGATCGTGAATGAGGGGCAGGACATAGAGTGGGAGTTACGGGTGGGCGGCAGGGAGTGAGTTATGGAGGAAGAGGAGTTATGAGGTGCCTGAATATGTTTATGGGGTGGGGACCACGAGTGCCAGGGGCTGCTGAAGAAGGGGTGCAGTCCCCACTGTGCTCACATAGTGCTTCTGGTTGACCAAGTGCCCTCCTCCCAGTTGATGGGCACACCGACTCTGGCCCCTCTGCCCATCTCTGCTGAAGCCCCGACTTTCCAGACAGGACCAGCAGAGGTCTTAAGGCTGGTGCATTTCTGGAACCTCTCTCTGAGGACCCAGGCGCTCAGGCATCTCACTGTCCTTCTCCTGTAGGGGCTTACACCTGGTCGCTGCGGTGGCTGCCCTGGGCCGCCCTGGCAGCAGTGGGAGTCCCGGCCTAGGAAGCAGACCAGTCTGGGGTCAGCAGCACATGGAGCCAGTCCTGAGCTGTGAGGGGCTTTTAATTCCTGAAGGCCTGGGGCAGGTGCAGCTGGCCTTCCTAACTGTCAGGGAAGCCGGAGTTCCTAGTGTCTGTAACCTCCCTCTCCTCATCATGCAACGGGCTAAGGTTGGGACCCACATCTGTCCCCGTTCCCAGAGCCTAGCCCCTAGAGACGTGGGACGAGCCTCCTGCCCCTCCCCATGGCAGTGGCCATGTCAGGGCCTCCAGCCCTTCCAGAGGCCCAGCTGGAGATGCTCTTGGGCCCTCCTGCTCTCCCAAGGCCGAGGGGCAGTGGAGTGCTGGCTGAGCTCCCAGACACGGCCTATTGGGTACATGCCCAATTACCCCAACATGGCCCCACTCTGTCAACTCTCTAGGCCTTACTTTGGGGGACCTGGGCCCCTCCCTCAATCTTAGCTATTTGGCCCCAACTCCAGAATCAGAAGTGGGAGACAAAACTAGCTTTCCCACCCATTTTTGGCAAGTTGTACCTCAAGACCTGGAGTGAGATCCTGCCCTGGCAGCCTAAGCTGGAAGCCCGCCCGCCTGCCTGTGTCCAAAGGACACATCTATCAGCCCTGGGCCCTGGACCCCCCGCCTGTCCGCCCACAGCCTGCCAGAGTGTCTCTTTGTGCCCAGTAGCTTCCTGATAACCATCTGTCCATCCGTCCCCGCGTTCTGCCGTCCTTCCCTTCTTGCTGCACTCCCTCCTCCCTGCGCATGCCCTTCCCCCCTGGAGAGAACCCTCTCTAGGGAAAGGCAGGGTGGCTGCACCCAGCGACTAATCCAAATGGCAAATATTTTGTAACAAAATAGCCCAGAGGTATTTTATCTGTTTAATTCATAGAGATTTAGAGATTATATTGAAATATGTCACTTGAGCAAACTGTGTCGGTTCCGTTTCTTTTGTTCTCCAAGAGGGAGGGCCCACCTCAAATCAGAGCATCTAACTGCAAGAGTCCAGGCAAAAGGACTTTCAGATGCCCTCAGGCCTGGTGTCTCTGCTGGGCAGCCAGGCTCCAGGCCGCTCTCCTCGGGCCATAGCGGCGTCATTCCGTCCCCAGGGTGACGTGCTTCCAGCTGTGATGTGACAGGATTAGGAAGCCTCGCCTTAAATAAATGAGGCATGGGTGCGGGGAGTCATCTGATGGGTGGGCACTGGGTCAGAGCTGTGGGCTCAGGGCCAGGAAGGTGACTCCCACCAACACACACACACTCAGCCTTTAGCCAGTTGTTGAGACAGCAGGTTTCAGTGGAGACCAGGGGCAGCTTCGGAGGCAGGACGCACCCCAGCTGCCAGGGTGCATCCCGGCAGAGTGAGGGATGGAGGCTAGGACCCCTCTGCCCAGCCTGGCTTTCTGCAGTGGAGAGCAGGGGTATGTTGGAGGGTCAGGTTCCATGGACTATGCTTGATCATCAGCCTCAGGTGGTTTTCACCAGACATCAGCTCTGGAAGCCTGACCTTCCAATCACATGGTCTGGTTTGACAAGCCCTGGGGTGTACTCTTGCTGAAATGGAGGTAAGACAGGCTCAGGTGAAAGGATCCGGGGAACACTGTCGGGAAAAGTGCCTGGAGCCACAGAGTGCAATGGAGCAAACATTTACCGAGCCCCGCAGGGTGCCAGGTCCCCTGCTGGGAGCTGGAAGGGATGCCAAGATTCTGCAGAGGGATAAGGCGACAGCCAAGTGGCTGTAACGCAAGAGAGAAGACTGAAATCTGGGCTGGAGAGAGACTCGAGGTGCTTGGGTGAGCATTCACAGCTACGTGCAGTGCCTAGATCAGGCCCCACAGACAGGGGCTTGACATAGGGCGATTTCTCCTGGCAGGGGAGGGAGGAGAGAGCCTTCCAGCAAAGCTGAGGCATCAGAGGGACTGCACCATGGGAGAAAGGCAACTGGCCGGGATGGCTGGTCCGGGGACACCTGCAAAGAGGGCATCCAGGTCTCCTGGTGACCAGAACTATGAATACCCAGAAACCCAGACAGCTCCCCAGGCTGGGTGCCGTTGTCCCCTGTTAAAGTGAGAAGGCACGTGGCCTCACCCTCCCACCGGGGAATGGGAAATTCCAGGAGAAGCCTGGGGCCAGCTATGACCTGTCCCTCTCTGGGAACTCTCTGGGCCAGGAAGCTGAGGACTGGCCCCCCGAGAGCATCCCTGAGGAGACCCAGCTCAGCCCAGCCTGGGAGAGGGCCCAGGGCCAAAATGGCCTGCTGCCATCTGTGGGGGGACGTGGGCCGGTGCCACCATTCTCCATGTCTTCTGGCCCCTGAGCCCGTCTAGAAGGATTGGCCGTCCCTCTAGTGAGAGAGGGAGACCATCCTGTTCTGACAGAGCCCCTCTGGTGTTCCAGGCCCCTCTGAGTCCATCTGCCATAGGGATGGAGAGCTATAGTCAGTGCATCTCCCTTGTAGTGACCCTTCAGATGAGGAAATGTAAACTCATGAGCCATTGACTTGGACTGTTTCCAGTAAGGGGTCCCAGGGTTTGCAGGTTTCTGGCTGAGAGCAACAGGCCAGAACAAGATGCCAGTGCTGGAACTCCAGGAAAATCCAACAACAAGCTTATGAACACCTGGTGTGCAGTGGGCACTGGTCTTGGGCAGGGGACGTGCCGTGAAAGGGACAAGCAAGCTTCCTGCTCTCGAGGATCTCACAGTGGTGGTGCCGCCAAGAGTAAACCAATGGGGCAAGTATTTTCACACGGCGGATGGTGGTGCAACAGAGGTGAGGGAGGGACTGTTTCAGACTCGACAGGAAGCCCCTCCACAGAGGCAAATTCCACAGGTCAAGATCAGGTCTGAGGGCAGGTGGGCAGTTCAGAGACCACCTCTACAGGGCGGAATGACTACAGCTTTTTGAGCCAGAAACTTGGGACAGTCAGCCAAAGGACCATTTCCTGAGGTATGAATTTACTTACATAAAAATTCTTACTGAGGGCCGGCCCCGTGGCTTAGCGGTTAAGTGCGCGCGCTCCGCTGCTGGTGGCCTGGGTTCGGATCCCGGGCGCGCAGCAACGCACCGCTTCTCCGGCCATGCTGAGGCCGTGTCCCACATAGAGCAACTAGAAGGATGTGCAGCTATGACATACAACTATCTACTGGGGCTTTGGGGGAAAAAAACAAATAAATAAAATTATAAAAAAAAAAAAATTCTTACTGAATCTTACTTAAATGCATTTAAAAGCCACCTTTACTGAGGAAATAATAAAATGGGGCTTCTAGAAAACCCGGGATGGATGGTCACCATATTCTATGGGCAAGGAGGTGGATTGAAAGCAGGCAGTCAGGTGGCCCCAGAAGGCAGGGTGGGTGGGGGTGGTGTTAAGGGCTGGGCTGCAGAGGAGGACCCAGGCTGCCCTGCAGACCCCAGAAGACAAACATGGGCGGGGAGGAAACGCTGGCCCGTGCCGGACAGGGCAGCCGCTGTCCAGAGCAGCTCCTGATGTGGAGGTGCCCTCTCCTTGGGGCCTGCAGGCAGCGCTCTGTCCACCTCCTCTCTGTCACCCCAATCCAAGCGGACTCAGGTTTGCCATTTAAAATAATAACAGGATGGGCTCCATGGCCTGGTGCCCACCTGGTCCTCGGGTTGATGACCTCTCCCACCCCAGCGTGAACTACATAAACTGTAGCAAGATCGATTCCTCTGACAGTGGGGCTGGTGGAACACTGCTGTGGGCCCTGGCGCGCCTCCCTCCCTTCCCCAGCCTTGACAGACGTGCCTCATTGATCACTGCACCATCCATCAACGTATGGCGACAGCAGGATGAAATTCACTTGCCCATGGTGTCCTCATTGAGGCCCCCTGCAGGAAGGGATTTTGGAGGGGGCAGCAGGCACAGGCTACAACTGTGGGCCAGGAGACACTGGGGCCCCGGGAAACGGCCCCGTGAGGAATTGCTCACGCGCATGCCCACTGTTCTCAGATTGCCCGGGAGATGGCCCGGGGAGGGACATCTGCTTTGTTCCTTAGCTCACTAGCGCTCTGCCCCTCCGATGCTCAGGGCTGCTTTCTTGTAGGACCCCACACTACTCTAACAACCTGTCACCTCCCTGTCCAGTGGGCCCCTCACTTGCTCTACTCACCTCCCACCAATTCCCTCTCCTCTGACAAGGTGTCAGCTGGGGTCACAGATGCAGATCAGGGGTGCCAGGGGAGAAGGCGTTCAGAAGAGCTCTCTATCCAAGGGCAAAGCACGGCCTGGAGAGGCCACCACCGGGCACTGCTGCCCTTGGGAGAGACCCTCACAGGGCAGGGGGAGGTGTTTCCTCCAGGAGAACGGGAGGCCCAGCCAGAGCCCAGTGGCCTGGAGTCTCAGGCTGAGTTCTTGTCTGCTCCCTTCCCCTTCCTAGGAAGTCAGCCAGGCCAGGGACAGGCCCCATGCCCTAGCTGGGAGGCAGAACTGGTCCTCTGTGGAAAATTCCATTCTGGAAGAGGCTGGAGGATGAGGAATAGAGCTCAGGAGATGGGCAGGAGGGATGGGAACTCTTTCCTCATCCCTCCTCCCATCCTCCCTGCAGGTCTGGGTGGCTTCGTTCTCTGGGGAACCAGGCGTCCTCACCCCACGAGCCAGGCCCTAGCACCTCAGTGTTTCCTGCTCCCATGACCCTAAAGAACCTCAAGGCAGGCTCTGGAAAAACTGTGGGAACTAGCTGCAGGAAGGCAGGAGACCACCAGGAGAGCTGGCTCTTGTTCCCACATTCCCCACTTCCCTAGACAGACCTGCTACCCCTCACCCCCACCCCAGGGACCCCTAGTCCTCTTTCCTTCCCAGACATCTGGGCTTGGAAGTCGCCTCCCTCCCAACCCCCCAGGGGAACAGAAAGCAGGGCGCAAGGGAGCGTGGTCAGCCATCACAGGCAGTCACAGAGTCCCGGTGTCAGGCCTGGCAGCAGACAGCTTAGTCAGTCCAACTGCTGTCTTCTACGGATGAGGGACGATTTAACGTAAGAAGTTAAAAACAAAAAAGAATAAGAGAATAATCCCACAGCAAGTAGAAGGAAGGAACTAATAAGACAAAAGCAGAAGTAATGAAATAGAAAACACATATACAATAGAAAGGACTAACAGAGCCAAAAGTTACTTCTAGGAAATGACTAATAAAATTGACAAGCCTTGGATAAGACTGATCATGAAAAAGAGCGTCGCACAGGTAATGCCCTGGCTGGGCATTGCTGGCTCTGGGCCCCTCATAAGGTAGCAGCCAATGTCAGCCAGACCTGCAGCCATCTGAAGGCTGGACCAGGGCTAGAGGATCCACTTCCACAGTGGCTCATTCCCCTGGCTGACACATTGGTGATGGCTTTTGGCCAGAGGCCTCAGCTCCTTCCATGTGGGCCTCTCTATTGGGCTGCTTGAGTGTCCACATAGCACGGCGACTGGCTTCCCTGAGAGCGAGTGATCCCAGAGATCAAGATGGAAGCCACAGTGCCTTTGATGACCTAGCTGCAGAGGTCACTCACCGTCACCCCCCACACTCTGTGGAGCAAGGGTGTGAATACAGGAGGTGAGGGTCCCCGGGAGCTGTCTTAAAGGCTGGCCACCACAGGCCTGAGGGGAGAAGGAGGTAGTAGGGGTAGAAAGGGTCATCCAGGGAGCTCCTTCTGTTCCCTGGCTATTCTAGGACAAGGTGCTGGCCGTTCCTGTGAGCTGACTCTAGCCCCACAAACCCCAGTCCTCGCTCCTTCCTCCCAAAGCCCATCCCTTTCTCCTCCAAGCCTCCTAGTCTATGTCCCTCTTGCCCCCCATGTGATTCTGTTCCTTTCTCCTGCCCCAAATCCCAGTCCCATAACCCTGTCTGCTCACCCTGGCGTGTAAGGGCTTACAAGGCTGCAGGCCGGGTGGCTTACATTCTCTCTTTCTCTCTCTCTCTGACTGGGGTGGGGGGAGTTCTGGCCTGAGGACCCTGGGTAGTACTGGCACAAAACGAAAGGGCACAGCTGATGCTTCCTGCCCACGGGGGCAGCAGAGACACGGGACCCTGACCAGAAGTTAGGGGCCTGCACCCTGAGGGTGGTTTGGAGGTGGAGCCCAGGCGATTCCTGGAGGCCCACACCAGAGCCAGCCCCTCCCTTAAGGGAGCTGCACGGAGCAGGGTTGGAGACGCCGTAGAAGGATGCCCGGCTAGACAGGAGAGCAATTTCCCCTGGTCAGATGCCTTTCCAACCTGACACACACAGCCTACGACCTTGCACATAGGAAGCCCACTCACCAGTGGTTGGGAGGTAATCTCAGCAGAGTTCAAGGCTCTCTTCAGCTCCTAGAACTCTCCCAGTCCAGGGGCTGGGGGGAGGCGACCGAGCATACCTTAGCTCACTCCTCAGCTCCTGCAAGGGCAACCCACACCCAGACAAGGCCAGGGGCTCTCAGATGAGATGAGATGGGGAGAGTCCAAGCCCAGGCAGGCACCAAGGCCCAGCCGCGTCAAGGGGGACATAGGGGAGAACCAAGGTGAGTGGCTGGGGACAGCAAACCCCAAGACACCAACAGCCTTGGAGAGCCAGCTCTGCAGGAAGTCCAGCCAGGGCGAGCAGGGGGGATTCCCAGGCGGAGCTCTGGGTGCCAAGAAGGCAGGGACAGTCTTAGCCTCACAGAGTGGAGGAGAGCCACAGTCAGGTAAAAACTCTTTTGCCTGAAAGAAGGGGAAAGGGGGGATGATTACTAAGCATATCTGATGAACTGGTGGGATTGGGAGGCAGACATGATCCTGAACAACAGAAAATCCAACTGAGTTCTTTTTGGCTTTGGAGTCCCTTCTGCCATGGGGGCTGCTGTGGCCTGACATCTTAGATCCAGCTTTGAAATTAGACTTAGCCACCACCCTTCTTTGGGGAAGGGAAGAGCCTGGGTGGGAGGGGGCATTAACCCAGGATGAATAAATAGCATCAGAGGGTCTACGGAATGGGAAGTCCACACATCAACAAGCTGGAGTTGGTGGCCGTCCTGTGACTGCCCGCGTCCGAGGCACCAGGACTCCTGCGACCATGGGCCTTCGGTTTCCCCCTCCTGCTCAAGCAAGGGTTCTGGTTCCCTCCCTTGCCCAGAGGCTCCCAGCTCTTCTCCTCAGGCACAGCTTATGAATTCAAATGCCTTCAAACGTGCATGTGTCAAAAGGTCAGGTGTGAGTAATAGGGAGTGGTGGAGCCTGTGGTAAACTGGAAAATGCCTCAAGGCATTCACTTAAAAATTTTGCACACATGTGCAAGTATGCACACACCCACACACCTGTATTAGTACCTGGTCACTTCAAAGAGTCAAATTGTTGCTCCTTGCCCATGTTGTGGGCCCAGGATGAGTGGGTTCCCACGAGCTGTGCAGTTGGCCAGAAGTCCCTTTCCCTGACACCCTGTCCTTCCAGCCCCAACCCGCCCCATCCAGACCCCTTTGGACCCGCGGGCCACAGAGGTTCTACCCTGAGTGCCAGGGACTTGAGGGAGGAACTGCTGCAGACACACTGCCCCCCGCAGCCCCCTGTGCCGGAGCCCAGACCTTCCCAGACGGCTGTGAGTTTAAAGCCGGGGGAGCTGGGGCAGCTGAGAGTACTGGCGGATTTATGTGGGGCAGGGGGCCCACGGGAGAGGGCGTGTCTGCAGAGACAGAGACTGCGGGATTCAGGGCCCAGCAAGCTGCAGAGAGCTTGTGCCCCACCAGTGGGCCAAATTGCGTAAATTCCTACAATGAGCTGGAGAGACCACGGCTCTACACAGGAGCACTCTGGGGAGGCGGCAGGGGGCTGAGAGCCTGGCTGGCCTCGGCCTCCATGTCTCCAGCCAGCTGCGCTGCCCCAAAGCAAGCCGACTCTCCTGGGGAGCCCCCCGGGGCCATGGGGAGAAGGATGTGGGAAGTATTTGGCTTCCAGAGGGTGAGAGCTTACACAGGGAAGGAGAGCTGCGCAGCCTGTCCATCCATCCCGAGGGCAGGAGTGAGGGCGCTTTCCTTCTTGCGAAGGGTGCTCTGGGGGTCAGAGGCAGGGCCAGGGGAGGCGGCACTGCTCCCACCTGCCACCAGGCGGCAACAGAGAGCACCATGCCTGCCCCACCTTTCGCTTGGACAGGTTCCCGGTCTCATAAATGACAGCAATCTGGCTGAAGCAGTTTCTCTCCATCCCTTTCTCCTCTGCCTCCTTCTTTACCCACTAACTAGTCCAAGAAGGGTGAGCACAGGTGCACGGAGCAGTCCAGAGGGAGGCAGAAGGCGACCGCCAGAACTCAGGAGTCTGGACATCTGCTCATGCCCAGTGTGCCAACGAACTTGTCCTCGCCAGTTGAGAAGCCTGCATATCTGGGCAAACGATGGTGGATGCTCTGAGGATGGCCTAGGGGCTGTTGGGATGGAACTCACCCTGGCCAGATTTTTACTCTGGCCACTGGGCAGTGGCTCTGGGTGACATCTACCTAGGCATCATTCGCCCCAGGAGACTCCCCTTCTTCCAGCTGCCAGGTCCTGCCCCAGGAAACTGTCCAGAAGTGGCCTACCCCATCCCCACTCCCTCTCCTTGCTTCCCTTCTGAACCCAAGAACATGGAACTTATCCAAGCCCTGCCTTCCTCCTCCAGAAAGCCTTCTCCAGCCAGGGAAGGATCTGGTGATTTAGTAGGGACACGGGGAGAGGAGCACCCCACGCACACCTCCCTCTCTGTGGGATACCAGGGGCTTTGCAGACCCCAAGGCCTCCTGGGGGAAGGGAGATGGAAAGTGGCAAGAACAAAGGGTCCAGAGAGGAAATGTGGTAAGAGGAGTACGGGCTGGCAGAGAAAATACCAGGGTGGGGGTGCCAATCTGGGAAGAGCTGCTCACTCCCTTCACAGAGGGGACCTCTCTCCCTCCTACCCCAAGGCAGCGGAACTGAACAGAAACGGGGTGAGGTAAAGAAGGCTAGCACATGGCGGCATGCAATCCATACGTGCTTGTTAACTAAGGCAGGAGGCTGTAATGGGGACAACACTGGCCTGAGAACAAGGAGACCAGGTTTTAGTTGTAAATCTGGCCTGAGGAGCTGTGTGAACTTGAAAAAGTCATTTTGTCTCTTTGGTCCTCAGTTTCCTCATCCATGAAGTCAGGGGTTTGAACAAAAGCAGGACGGCAAATGGAGCTGCCTGGAGCACTTATCTGGAAGGATGGAGGTGGGAAAGACTCCATGATGGATTAGCAATGTCTGTTTTGGGCATAGGACCACGGAGACAGAGGTGCCATGTATTTGCGAAGTCAAGGGATCATCTCTAAGTCCCTTCCATGCCAGTGCTCTGTGAGTTGACGACAACATTGCAGGAAGAGAGTGGAACTGAAGCTGGAGCTAGGACACCTGGAGAGACTGCCTCCGGGAAAACTCAAGACAGCGGTGGCATGGGAAGGTTTGCCTCCTGGCTGTTGCTCTAGTTCCTTCCCCATGGACTCCAGAAGGCTAAGCCTAATGAAGGACCCTCTAATGGAATGTCAGAATCCAGTGTGGTATGTTCAGATGCCACTTCCAACACTGTGCATTCCGTCAGGCTCTCTGAGTCAGATCACAGTATGTATTCCAATTGGCGCTATGCTCCCAATGCACACATACAGTAAGCTCGAACAGCAAACATCCCTACGGGGGAGTTCCCGCCCAGTGTACCGTGTTATAATCAGACCACCCTCCTTTATAAATATGACAGCGTGTTCCAACAGGGAGTCGTTCACAGCATGGCATGTTCCAGTGGGAGCGTCTTCAGCCCACCAGGAGGAGCCGCACCTGCTGAGGAGAGGACAGGAGTCCAGCATCCAGCTAGGGGTGCCCATGGACACTGAAAGGTTCTCAGCAGGACTGTGGTAGGGGACAGAGGCGAAGGCTGTCCATTGCCAGGAGCGAGTGGCCCTGACCTAGGTTGCTGGCTCAGGAGCCACTTGGCTTCCAGCCACATCCTACAAGCGGGTCTCTTTCTCCCCAGCTATCAGCCCCTCCCTTGCTGGGGAGGGCGTGCAGGCCTGGTCAGTGCTACCATCCAGACACAGGTGTCGCTTGGGCTGTGGCAGGCTGGGGTCAGGGGTGACGAGCTGCCGCAGGCGCTGTGGAGAGAAGAGGGGGTGAGTGGGTGCTGCTGGCGACAGAGGCAGAGATGTGTCCTCGTGTCTGTGTCCCCCAGACCCGGCACAGAGGCAGGCATGGGAGGCAGCTTGGTACAACATGAGTGAATAAACAAATAAATATCTTGAGAAGAGAGAAGAGGCAACAACATGGTGATTAAGAGAGTGAACTGCCTGGGTTCCAGTCCTGGCTCTGTACCGACGACCTGTGCAGTCTTAGGCAACCCATTTAAGCCCTGTGAGCCTCATCTGTAAAATGAGGATAAGGACAGTACCCCCCTCACAGAACAGGGCCTGGCCCAGGGTACGTGATCAATATGTGTCTATTTTTGTTCTTATTATTTTTACCATTCTTATTATTACTGTTATGTGCTTAGTAAGCATCTATTATTTTTCTTATTATTGGTAGTAATACTATTACTATCACTACTGGTGTTATTGATGCCATCTCCTCCTGCTCCTTCTTGCCTTGACTGCCCACGTAATGACTGGAATCATGACAACTTTTTTGTGACCATGAGGTGATGAGTATGATGGTGAAAAGGCAACAATATAGGAAGTTCTGTGGAAAATACAGGAAGTGTCTGGTTCTAATGGCCTCTTTAAGCAACTGAACCAAATGCCAGAAACCTCTGTCTCTGGTCATCTTGATGTGTAAGAAAAAAATAAGCCTATTTGCTTATTGCAGGTTGGGTTTTCTGTTACTTGTAGGCCAGATCAATTTCTACAGATGTAATGTCTTTGTGGGACACCGGCTATATCCCCTTCCAGGAAGGCATGTCCCAAACTCTAAACAGGGAGCCTTTTGCGTGTGGCTCCCCAGGGAGGGTTAAGAGAAGGAAAGAAGCCAGGAGACTGTGTGTGGAATGAACCGTGATAGCTGGTTATCTGTTTCCTGAGAGCAAGGACTCTGGGCTTTATAAACCTCTGTGTCTGGGCCCATTGATGCTTTTGTTTGTTACTTCTTTCCCCCTAGCCCTTTGACAGTTTACCCTTGGTTAACCTGCCCAGATGATGTGCTGGAGGACAGATTCTGCAGGTCTAGGAATCTAGGACTTTTGAACATTTCTGAAAATGAAGCCACTGGATTGGTGTTCAAAGACCCTCTCTTGAGGATGCCATTGGACTGAAGGGCTGCCACACACTGGAGCCGGGCCCCAGCCGTGGTGTCCTGCCCCAAGTCCAGGTCTCTCAGTACCTTCCCTTCATGCGTCACTTCCCCCAGCCCCCTACCTTCTTGAAGGGACCCTGGGTCTTCAGGAGGGTGACGACGATGAAGAGCGGGACGCAGATCATGGAGGAGAGAGCCAGGAACCAGCCGATGGAGTACCCCCAGGGAGGGTACACGTAGACGTTGTTGTACTTGAGGGGTGTGTACTTGCTCAAGGAGAAGAGGAAAGTGGCCTAGAAGGAGGGAGGGGCAGACACAGATGAGATGGAGAGCCGCAGAGACCCTCTCCTCAGCTACTTCACTGTCCAGTGACAGACGGCAAGTTAACCACACTGTGGAGCATCCGTGAGGTGGGATAGTAAAAGCCACCACGAATCGTGGGCCAAGGCATCCCTCACGTCGAAGACTGAGACAGGAGGAGACGGAGAGGAAGGAGGGGAGATGGAGGAGCTCCAGGCAGACAGACAGACAGACCAATAATGGAGAAATCAGGCAGATGATGGGGGTGCTTTGAGAAAGGGATGGAGCAGGAACGAGAATAGATGACGATGATGGTAAAGCAAACAGATGCATGAGATGGCCCCAGAAAAAAGGGCAGAGGAACCAACAATAAGAGGGAATGGGCCAGTCCCCCAAGGTAGACTGGAAAGGCAGGGAAAGAGCCCCAGAGCTCAGGCTTCCTGTTCTTCATCTCCCTGAGTCTGCTGGGGGCAGGAGGGAATAGAGGGGTAGCTGGGTGGGCACATACCAGGCAAAGTCCAGGAGTCAGGAAGAGCCAGGAGATCTTCAGCAGGGGCCATGGCCGGTAGCCAATCATGTCCTCAACATTGTCATAGAAACGGTCAGCCCCTGCCCAGGGACAGTGGGGGAAGAGTGTGAGAACAGGAGGTGGGAACAGCCCGTGGGTATTCAGGTATTTACCTGGCGCTGTGCCCTTCCTCCTGCCCTGTGCAGGGAGACTGGCACATGAATGAGGCGGACCCCTGGCACCTCAGCCACAGCGCAGGGAGCGGGGAGAGAGGAGGGGCTGCCGCCAACGAGCTGGGGCCCTCTCCTCCCCGCGCTCTCTCCTGTCTCCCTGTCTAGGGATGAAGACCTACCGCCCTAACCAGAGGAGGCGTGAGCCTAAAACAGGGCTCCATGGCTGTACAAATGCTTGTTTGTCTGTGCAGCAGAGAGGAATTTGGTTTCAAGTCAAAACAGCAAAACAGCCAGAGTGCCACTGCTCAAGCAGAGCATGCTAAACTCACAGAGGCCCAGACAGCTACTGCCAACAGCACAACGGTCTAGATTCCAGGCTCCAGAGGAGCCACTCTGCATTCCAGTAAAGCGTGGTGAGAGGCTTGATTCGCGTTTGTGAATACACTGACTGGTTTTGTCTGGTTTTGTTTAATGTCCTTAGGTTTCCACATTTGCTACATCCTCTAAGAAGCAAAGAGCCACTTGGTCAAGACACTTGGAGGGCACCTCTAGCTTCCCCTCACCAAAGAATACTTTCCCACTGATCCCTGATGCATGAAATGCCACCATTAAAGAGTCATTCTTTGGCTTCTAAATTTCTCCCCAGTTAAAAACCAGATACTAGCTAGGCAGGTGTGACATATTAAGGCTTAGCCATTTACACGGCCCTGTGATTGAGTTTCTCAGGTCCTGTCTGAGAACAAGTTTTGGACAGCAGTAGGGGAATCAGGAAGGCATCAGATGCTTGAGTGAGAAGGCAGGAGACATCTCCAAGGAGAGGGAAGGGCACCAAATAGGAAGGCTTACAGCAACAAAAATAAACACTTGCCTACTCGTGGCTTGTCCTGAGGCCCTGCGACATGGCACCCACTTACCCTCTCCGCCCTGAGTCTTGTGACACTGGCAATGTGTTCCCCAACCTGGCGCAGTGGAGCCAGATGACCTGAGGTGTGGTGAAGGCTCCTCCACTGATAGCTGCGTGAGCTCAGGCAAGAGACCTAACTTCTCCGAGCCTTACTTCCCCCTGTCAAGGGCTGTTGTGTGGATTGTGAGATAGTGTGTGACAAGCAGTAGTGCATTGGCTCAATACCTAAAGGTTTCTCCCCCTATTATTATCAGGCACAATAACGGCATTCAGCACCACCACTTAGCTATCTCAGTTGGGAGCCAGGGCTGTCGGTGGAAGTCAGTGAAAGGCAGAATTCGCCCCAGTATGAGGAAGAAATGCATGACAACTACAGTGGAAAAGGCTGCCTCAGAAACCCAGGAATGAGTTTCCCGTCCGTGGAAGTATCCAAGCACAGTCTGGGCGATAACTTTGAAAGAGAATGTAGGAATCTGTGGAGGATCCAACTAAACGGCCCTGAAAGTCCCTTCTGACTAGGATTCCTACTGTGAAGGGCCTCCAGCAGCCTCTGTATCTGTACATTGTTATCTATACTCTCACTACTCAAGGAAATCAGTTTTGTCATTATGCCAGCTCTACCTGCCATAATGAGAAACGCCTGGGTTCCCAGAGGTGGATAAACTTCCCAGGTGAAAAGAACCAGGACAGCAATACAAAGACACGTAGAAACCAGGGGGCCAGCACACCCCATCTCATCCTGGGCAAATCCTGCCCTTAGCTGGGCCCCGGCGGCTCTTCCTCCCCACCCCCACCTCCCTCAGTGCCCCCACTTACCATACACCCAGCTGATGCAAATGACTTCAAACACTGAGAGGAAGAGCAGGCATGTGCCACTGGAAGCATAATAATCAAACAGCTGGAAGATATACATCCCGCCCTGCAGAGAAGGGAGTAGAGCTAGGCCTTGGCCAGTGGGGACAGGGGACAGGCTCTCGCCATCCTGCCTAGCCCATGGGAAGTCACTCCTTGCATATAAAAGGAGTTTGCCCGGCCTGTCCCTGCCTTCAGGCCCCTCATTTAACATTAAGACAACGATCCCGGACATCGGCAAGGTCATTGGGAACTGTGGTGGACATACACTGTTTTTCTGCCCAGCATCCCATCTTCTGGAAGCTGACACCACCTCACTCTAAGTGTGCTCCTCTCCCTGCTCCAGGCCTGAAGAAGAGCAGCCAGACACTGGCCGCGCTCTCAGGAAAAGGGCCCTCTCCTTCCTCTGCGGTTGATCGCGTGGCACAAGGTAAGCCTGAGGCTGCGCCAGCCTTCTTGAACATCAGGAGGGAAATGTGGCTACGTGTGAAGTGACTGGAGGAAAGGGGAGCCAGGAGACAGAGAGGAGCATTTCTGAAGACGTCATTAGAGCCACTGGATCCAGCCACGCCTGAAACCAAAATATCCCTAGACTTTTCAGTTTCCTGACCCCCAAAATTCCCCTTTCTGCTTAAGCCAGCTTGCATTTGGTTTCTGTTACCTGAAACCAAAAGAGAACTAACTCATACAGGTATGTTCCACTGTGTGGTGCCTACAGCCTCGCTATGAGGGAGGCAGGGCAGGTGTCAACACCCCCATTTAGCAGATGAGGAAAGTGTGGCTCTGAGAAGGGTCAGTAGTGTCCCGCATGGCTCCCTCGCCCTGGAGCCCAGCCTGCAGGCCGCCCACCCCTGCTCACCTCGGTGACCAGGAAGAGCCCTATGAGGTAGCACGTGACCGACACCGCCAGGATGAGGAGCTCCCGTCGCCCGCTCTTCCGGAGCTGCCGGGGGAACATGTCCACGGAGGCCGTCACCAGGCACTCCATACAGACAAACTGTGGGCGGGAGGGGAGTCGGGGTGAGGGGAGCTGCTGGCCCGTGGGCCTTCCCCAGCACAGCCTCGCTGGCCTCCTCTCACCCCACTCAGCCACGCTGACGCACAAGAGCACAGGAGGCGCGCAAAGGGCAGAAATGCGGGATGCCCTGAGGTGAGGCCAGCCCTGCACTTCGCCACATCTCCACAACAGAGGGGCCCAGCAGTGAGAGCTGGAGGGGAGATATGTTCTGTCCTCACAGCACGGGGGGCAGGGCTGGGCATCCTGAGCTGAGCAGCTGGAAGGAGGCTGGAGGGACATTTGGGAGGGGTTCCATGTATGGGGAAGGGTCAGGCCTGGGGGAGCAAAGCAGGAAGCCCCCTCACAGAGGAGGGTCTCAAGGCCTGGGGTCACCCAACCAACCGCAAGAACAAGCCCTGGACAGCGGAGGGGGCCCAGAAACCTATGGTCAGGGGAAGGGAGATGGGGGCAAGGTAACGCCGGGAAAAGAGGGTCACCAGGGCAGGGAGGGGCTGGGCTGGGGTGACAAACCTGGCTGTCCAGCCCGAGGAAGATGAGCATGATGAAGAAAAGGCAGGACCACAGCGGGGATAAGGGCATCATAGTCACAGCCTTGGGGAATGCGATGAAGGCCAGACCAGGACCTGCCCGACACACAGCGCAATCAGAATTCCCTCAAAGAAGAGCCCTCTCCAGAGGCAGTGTGTGTGTGTGTGTGTGTGTGTGTGCGCGCGCATGTGTGTGTGTGTGTGTATGAGCGAGTATGTGAGTATGTGTGTCGGGGGGCGGTGTAATTCAAGATGGCAGGGTGATTCCATCCATTATTCTGCTCTTCCTAGATGCTGGGGAGCCTGCTCTTCATCCATTCATCCACCCGTGCATGTAACCCATCCATTCCCCTCTCCCGCCTCCCTTCCCGGTTATGGAGGCCCCACCCTGTGCGAAGCATGGCCCCCAGATGCTAAGAGGTTTACTACCCAGCTTCTGCAACCCCTGCCTTTCTGTAGGAGGGACCTGTGTTCTCTCACCCTCCTTCCCCTCAGGTCCCAGACAGCAGAGTGGCACCTACCTGACTCGGCTACTTCAGAAATGGGCACCCCCTGCTCTTGGGACATGAAGCCCAGGATGGAGAAGACTACAAACCCGGCTGCAAAGCTGGTGGCACTGTTCAGGAAGCAGAGGGCGATGCTGTCCCTGCAGGGCGGGGTGAATGCAGGTCAAATGGAAGGGGGGAAGGAAAAGGGAGAAAGAAATCCATCATGGAGGAGAGATCAAATGACAGTGAGAGGGGAGAGAGGGGAGGAAACGACAAAGACCAGGCATCAGAAGGTGAGGAGAGGAGAGGGAGAGAGGAAAGGGAGGAAGAAAGAGATTCAGTCCGGGAAATAAACCCACAATGTCTATTTGACACAGCCTTTAACTACCTGGAAATAAAGGAGAAAGGCCTGGGCCCCCTGACTGCGTCTCATCCGTGGGGCCCACTCAGGACCCCACCCTCCTTAGACCATGGGCAGGCAGGGTCCCCAGGGGCCCCAGCCGCCATCCCTACCTGTAGCAGTTGTTGTGGTACTTGTTGTAGCTGCCCAGGGCTGTCAGGCACCCCTGGCAGATGGCGAAGGAGAAGAAGATCTGGGTGCCTGCGTCCATCCACACCTACATGTGACCCCAAGAAAGTGGTGCAGGGAGAGTGGGAGGGAGCCCGCTGACCAGAGGCCTGACCCATCACCCCACAGAACTAGCCTGGCCCCCTCGGTGTTCCCCGAGAGTTGCGTCCATCCCAACTCTCCATTAACAGTCCTGTTCTGCTCACAGCCAGGGCCCATTTTTAATCTGGCTCTGTGAGCGCTTAGTAAGCACGAAATACGGTGCATTATGTGAACTTCTTAGGTGGAGTCCACACCCCACGGCTGTAGCCCCAAGCTGGCAGGCCTGTCTGCAGGGCAAGCCAAGAGGCACGTGTGCTCACTCAACAAGCAGAGTGTGCAGACCTGATGGGGCAAAGGGGCCACTCCATTAAAATATAAAGAAAAGACCACCAAGCCTCCATGAGGGCATGGAGTGAAGGAAAAGAATGTGCTCAGACAAGTCCTAGAGGAGGAAATAGAAATGGCCAATAAACGTGGGAGAATGTCCAGCCTTGCAGTAGTAAAAAAATAAGTTAAAAAACAAAATGATAGTGTTTTTACCTATCAAATTATAAAAGATTAAAATAAATTATCATTGAACCTCTCGTGGGCCCTGCAGAAAGAAGGGACCCTCCAACACGGGCGATAGAAGCCTGCATCTGTCTAAAGCAGTACATCTCAAGAGCCTTAAAACATGCATGCTCTTCGCCTTAGTGATCCCACGGCTAGCCATTGTCAGCAAGTAATCAGAGTGTGGTCACGGATTTAAATGCAAGTTGTTCATTGCACCTGTATATACAGTCATAAAAAAAAATACCCGACCTAAGTGTCCGAGAACAGGGGGAGAGTTGAGTAAACGAAGACACTTGCCCCATTTGTGAGCGCTCAGGGGCACGGAACCCGGGCTAGGTGCCCGCTGTCCTACTCCAGCCCGAGGGCCCGACTAGGCACTTCATGGGTCCTCAGCACATTTTGGTTGAATGAATGAATGAACGGATGATGGAGGAAAATTATGTGAGCGTTAAAAATGACATTTACACTTTAATAACATGGGAAATGCTTACAATATGATTTAAGTGAAATAAGGTATTCGTCTCTCTATATATAATTCCCTCAACTATTTTAAAACAGACACACACACATACACACCACCTAGAGGAAAAAGTTGGAGGGAAATATACTAAAATGCTAACAGAGATTATAGCTGAGTGGTGGGATTACAAGAGATTTTTAGTTTCTTTTTCATATTTTCTTCCATATTATCTAATTTTTCTCCCGTGAGCATCTATTGCCTTTAAACCAAGAGAAGAGCAATCAAAGATTTTCAAAAGTGCAGATCTGGCTTGCAGTGGGAGACATCTGGGGAAACGGTCCCCAGCACAGTACCCACCTGGGGGTCCTTGAGGCGAAACAGATCTGGCTTCAGGTAATAGACGATGCCCTCATAGGCCCCAGGAAGGGTGACGCCTCGGATCAAAAGGATGACCAGCATCACGTAGGGAAACGTGGCTGTGAAATAAACCACCTGGAGGGGAAGCAAGCCAAAGTCACTCCAGGTGGGGACACAGCAGCCAGGAGGTGACAGGGAGTCTGCAGCGGTCCTCCTGTCCGACCCCCCGCCCCCCGCCGCCCCCTGCCTTAGGCAGCACAGCCACACCTAGCTCAGTGTCTGGCGCGTTCTTAGAGACATCTGAGTGGGGGTGACGCATGAAACTTTCCACGCCTTCCTGTCCACGTTCTAGCGGATCTGTTTCCCCAGCAGAGTGAGAGATAGATATCAGCAGGGCAAGAGGGGAGGAGGAAAGACAGGGAGGGCGCAGGTTTCCAGCCATAACATTTCAACGACTCTTTCTGTATCCAGAATCTGGTCTCCCTGAATTCCTTATCCTGACTATTCTCCCCAGGCCCCGGTGAGGGTGGGACTCCCCTTCCCCAGGGGAAGGGGGAACAGATTTGTACAGTGCTCTGTGGGAAAGTCTAGACTGTATTTTCCAGGCTTAGGGCTGGGGGAGCAGCACTGGCCTGAGCACAGGGATCTGCAGGCACACAGAGGAGCCCCCCAGCACCGCCCCCCTGTGTTTACCGTTTTCATTGTTACTGTTACATTACCATTACAACAACCCAGGGAAGGGGGAGGCTGCTGTGGGAACAGGCTAATCAGAGAAGTCAGCCCCTGTCTGTTCCGGCTTTAAAAAGCATGAAGCATCAGTCTCGGATTAAGTCTGAACTCTCTCTAAACATAAACAAGCCACTGTTGTCCATTCTCGGCTACAACCGCTTCGATGATTGGACACTCACCAACTCAGACAGCTCTGTTTGGGGTCCATATTAAACACTGTCTTGATGGGTTGTTAAATACAAAAAGCAAGTCGTAAGAGTGTATGATCTTAATTGTGTAATATATGCACCTAATAGATACAGATACACACATACATACATATAAAGGAAACTAGAAGGCTACACAGCAAGTGACAGAGATGAGCAGATCCAACCTGCCATCATGCTCATGGTCTACGCTGATGGTTCTGACATGTTTCTTATCTTGCTCTGGACATTATTTACATAAACAGGTCTTTTACAGTCATATTGAAAAAGAAAGGCTTTCCTTGTATTGAGTTAAACTCTGCAGACTTCCCCTGTTCTCACTGTGCCTCTCCCTCAAACTTCTGTTTCAGTTCTCCAGAGGGACCCCTGGGAGTGTCCCCATGAACTCTGGGGGCCACAGAGAGCTTACCAGGAGCCAGAACACCTCACCTTGCCTGTGATCTTGACCCCCTTCCAGATGCAGAAGTAGCAGATGACCCAGGCGAGCAGGAGACACAGGGCCAGCTCCCAGCGCAGGGCCCCCAGCTCGTGGATGCCCGAGGTGATGCCCAGAACTCGTCTCCTGACAGATTGGAAAAAATTAATAACCAGGTGAAGGACTAAAGGGGACAACTTGCCTCTGCCATCAAGCCTCCTGACTTTAGAGCTGACCCCACAGATCTCATATTCCAGGCTTCCCCTGCCTCCATCCCACTCCTCCTGCCCCATGGCCATACCATGTTCCCACCTGTGGTCTGCATGCCCCTGGCTGTTAGAGGACCAAATCACGTAATCCCATAGGTATCTTTGTCTGTCTAACTCATCCAGCTTTCTCTGTTGTATAGAGAGATAGAGAGAGAGAGTGACGGTGGTGAGGAATGTATGAATGAGTATGTGGAGAGTTGATATTTATGTATGCAGGTTGATGAGCAAGTATATGAGTATCAAATGGAGGGGCTGAATGTGTGTTAGCATCTAAAGATGCGTATGGGAGTGATTTAAATGTGTGTGTACAGGGCCGGCCCCATGGCTTAGCGGTTAAGTGCGCGCACTCCGCTGCTGGCAGCCCGGGTTCGGATCCCGGCGCGCACCGACGCACCGCTTCTCCGGCCATGCTGAGGCCGCGTCCCACATACAGCAACCAGAAGGATGTGCAGCTATGACATACAACTATCTACTGGGGCTTTGGGGGAAAATAAATTATAAAAAAATTTAAAAAAATAAAAAATAAAAAAATAAATGTGTGTGTGTGAAAGTGTAGGTGGAAAGGTGTGAGGTTTGGGTAACGGGAGGGCATACATGTGTGAGGGTGTAGGTAGACACGTGAGAGTGTTGGTGAACATGTGTGGGTTTAGGTAAGTGTGTAAGAATGAAGGTGGACGCGCGTGGGCATGGGTAGGTCTAAGGATGGAAGCAGTCACGTGGGAGGGGGAGGTATGAGTGTAGGTTCTCCCAGTTTCTGTGGTATAAATACTCCCACCTTGGCCAGTTTCAAGTGACCAGCATGACATCACTGAGCAGGGAGTTGGGGAGAGATGTGCACCCCACATCCCTAAGCCGGTGCAGGCTGTTTGCAGGACACCACTGGACACATGTGGGTAGACGTGTAAGTGTAGGTGGGTGTGCAGGGAGCAGGGGGACATGAGGGTGTAGGCAGGCGTGTGGGAATGCAAGTCAATGGTGAGTCTAGGTGGACACAGGCGGGTTTGGGGTAAGGGTGTAGGTGCACAGGGTGGGGGGATGTGAGTGTTCCCTCATCTCTCAGTGATGTGTGGGGTGGTGGGGTAGGAGGTGGGTAAGTGCTGGGAAGCATGCACGGAGAGGCTTAAATTTGCACCCCAAGTCCCAGGTCTCAGACACTCAAATTTCCTCTGCTTGGGGCCCCTTGGCATGTGGCATCCAGGCCCAGCACTTACTCCCAGAATTCCACGACAGGTGAGGTGAAGTTCTCAGAGGGGGTCGCTGTGCTGGCTCCCGAGTGGTTCAGAAAGTCCACGCAGTACTCTGTCGGGGACAGGTGGGGTGCGCATGAGCTAGGGATGGGCTGGGGAGAGATGCCCTCAAACCCTAGTCCCCTGACCCTCTGGCCTTGCAGCCTGGCAGTCCCCATCATTCCAGTCCCAAGAGCTTCCTTTGGAGCCTCCTGCTTTCTAGAGTGTCAGGAGTTGGCTGCTCAGGTGGTTCGTGGAACCAGCCCTCTCCCCATGTGCCTTGCGTTGCATTTGTTCCAGTGAATCGGGCTGTCCCTCTGGCCACCCCACCAACCTCTGACACAATCCAGACTTCAGATCCACTCTGCCTGCACCTATGGACAGCACTCTCCTGACTTGCCCAGTCTCTCCACTCCACAGATGAAAGGACTGAATCCTTGCGTCTGCCCTTCCCCAGCCTGTACTGCTGCTCACACAGTAGGCTTTCTTATTGCCTCAGCCCTCTGCTAGCACTTCTCCCTCCCATCAGTATACAATTACTGCACTGTTTATTTTGCCCATTACCATTTATCATTATTTTGTTAATGTGTCTGTTTCTACCGCTAGACTGTATGCTCAGTGAGGGCTGGGACCATGCTGCTCTTGCTCACCCTTGGATCTCTAGCATCTGGCACAGTGCTTGGCACACAGCAAGTGCACAGTAAATATTTGTGAAATCAATGGATGAGTAGGTGATGCCAACCCCTTGCAGTTGTATAACACATTCACAGTCCCATTGGGTTTTCCGTTCTCCTAGTGGCTGATCTAAAGTCCCACAGAAGGGTCAACCAGCAGTACTGGCACCAGAGCCCACACAGCTTGGCTTTGGAACAAGTTCTGCCATATGCTCTGTCACTGTTTGCCCATCACCAGCCACCATGGGACCAGCCCCCAGGGAGAGATACCTGTGTTCCAGTTATTGGTACATGTGGTCCAGGGCAGTTCAGAGGTAAAGGAGCTGAACAGGTAGAAGAGGGCCCAGGCAAGGATGATGATGTAATAGACGTTCAAATAGGACTCAATGACCACAGATGCCAGACCAATGCCTTCCGGTGCGGGGGAGGGGTGGGAAGCAACAAGAGAATCCAAGAGATCAACATTAGCCAAAAAAAAGTCACATGGAAGCTGCCAGTTGTAGTTAGAAGGATACTGGGCGCGCACAAAGAGAACCACCAGGGTGCATTTATTGGCATAAGAAGCCATTTACAGCATATTTTTAAGTAAGAAACACAGGTTACAGAATACTATTCTATTCATTCTCCCATTTTTTATAACATATTTTTGAATGTATATCTTTTTCTTTTTCATGAGAAAAACTCCAGCAGGATCATCATCCAAAAGTTACCAAGTAGTTCTCTAGGTGATAGGATTTCAGTTCACTTGTTATACTTTTGTTTTTCTTTTTGCCTATCTGCATTTTCCAGTTTTTCTATTGCAATCATACATTACTTGTTAAATGAAAAGGGGCTGGAAGAACATGGAGTAAGTAGGGAAAATTTGGTAAGAATCAGTCTCAAAATAAGAGCAAAGCCCAGCAGTCACCAGCAGGGAGGGAGGCGCGGTGGCCATCCGGAGGTCCGGGGCCTGGCTCAGCCTCACACGCCGTCCGTCTCCGAGAGCGGGGCGGGCAAGGTCCCCGGGCAGCCGCGTATCGGGACGGAAGGAGGGAAGGCCCAGGCCCCCCACCCGGCCCGCCAGTCCTACCCAAGTGGGAGCTTTCCACGGGATTTTAAAAGTAGCACGCTGCCAGGGCGGCTCTTAGGACCCGCCGGTTTGCCCTGCGGCCCAGAGGCCGTCCCCGGAAGCCGATGCCCAAGAACTATTTCACCAAGGACTGGTGGAGAGACAGGACGGCTGGAGGGCTGGTCCGAAAATCGACTGTCTACAAAGCCACCCCTCGCCCGGCGAGCCCACCCTGACGGTTCCTGTCGGCCGGCAAACGAGGCAGGCGGGTTGTGGTCCTGCGTTCTGGTCTCTTCCAGCACACAGGCTGTGGGGGCGGGAGCCCCGAAGCGTCTATGGCGGGGGCGGGCCGGGAGCGGACAGCCTCGGGCTGGGCCTCAGGAGGGAGGCGGCTGGGGCTGCTGATGGCGAGGAGGTCCGGGCGCCGGGCGCACGCGGGACCAGCGGCCGCTGTGCCCCCAGACGCGCCGTGCTGCCCGCGCCGGCGCCCGGCCAGTAAACACCGCGGCCGGAGGAGGCAGGGCGCCAGGCTGCGGTGGGCCAGCAGGGACGATGTGGGGAGGGAGCTTGTGCCTGTGTGTAAACTGAGGAGGGAGGGTGTCTCCTGCGTGTGCCAGTGTGCACAGGCCCGCTGGGAGGGTGGACGTGGGTGGAGGCAGTTAGGCTGAGAGAGGTAGGTGGAGAGCAGGTAGTAAGCAGCCTGGACAGTCCCCCCATCATAGGTGCACACACCTTGAGTGAGCCTCTTGCTGAGGCCCCAGGCCTTGGGGTCTCTTCAACTTGGAAAAGAAGGAAGGAGCAGCAATCCTCCCCTACCAACCCCATCCAGTGCCCCACTTGCTAGCCCTTTCCATGGCCCTGTTGGGAGAGAGAGTACAGTGTCCCAGAGAGGCCAGCCCATGCCTGTGCCACCCCTGGGCTTGTTTGGACCTAGGGATAGAGCCCAGCTGGGTGGGACATTAGGCTACTGCTAGGGTCCAGAGCAGAACACCAGGAAACTGTGTGCCTTGGCTGAGGCCAGAGCGCTCTGAGCACCCAGAACTCATCAGTAGAAACATGGGTGAACGAAGCGTCACCCTGCCGCAGCCCCTCACTGCTGCCCCTACAGGGGTCCTATAGATAGCCTTGACCCCCACCCCACCTCCAATCAGTGGTCAGGTTCCCAACCTGCTCGGGAGCCAGTGTTTTCCCACCATGCCCACCTCTGTCCAACCTACTAAGTTTGGTGGCAACCCCACATAGTCTAGTCCCTGGGGCTCCCTTAGGAACTGACGTGAGAAGAAGAGTCCTCTCTCCCTTTCAAATATGCAAGGAACCTCTCAGGGACAAGGAGATCCCTTGGGTTTCCTGCTGGTCCCCAGGGGACTGACCCAATCAATAAAGAGGGGTGGCACAAGCTGCTCACATTAGTGCCAATATATCCATAGAGTTAGGTCCTAACGTAATCTCTAATACAGGAAAGAGCACAGACTTCCAGCTCAGGCAGACCTCGGTCCGAATCCTTAGTAAATGACCTCCTTTTTCTCATCTACAGAATGAGGTTAATAGAGTTATTATTGGAGGATTAGATGAGGAAATGCACGTAAAGTGCTTACATGAGCCCTGAAGCATAGTAGGGCTCAACGGATGTTAGGCAGCATCAGCGTCATCATTCTCATCACTATCATATACTTTGGAGGTGTGTCTGGGACCAGGCCATATACTCAGGAACATATTTTCCATGAAGCTGATGAAGGTTAAGCTTCAGGGCTCCTCACGTGCAAGGACTCTTTCCAAGGCTCTGCACCTCATTTTGCATTTGTAATTTTGTATTGTCTTTCTTGAGGAACGCCTTCCTCCCCAAGATTCATAAGTTTTGGGCCCCACAAAGCCTGATTATACTTCCTGTGTCTCCCACAGCACTTAGCACAGGATGAGATGGTTGAATGAAGGAGGCACAGAACGGGAGGAAAAGGGGAGGGGCGATGGAGGGATGGAGATATGATGGTGCCCCCCCCCGCACCCC